TGGTGCCTGATTCAGAGAGGAAACCCGCTATGCTCAGTGGTGACAGCTGAGTTAATGCTATTTGTAAATGATACTGTTGGCACAGAGGAGAATCTCATTCTGTCATTACTTGTGGTTTCCAATATAGTACCTACAAATCTTAAAATTTTGTCCGATATTAAGAAATCTGACTAGCCACTGTTTCTCGTTCTTGGGAAGGAGACTAAATCAATCAGTATAGTTCAGTTCAGTCACTCAGTCATGTCCCACTCTTCGAGAACCGCATGGACCACAGCACGCCAGGCCTCCCTGTCCATCACCAACTCCCAGAGTCTACTCAAACTCATCTCCATTGAGTAGGTGATGCCATCCAACCATCTCATCCTCTGTCGTCCCCTTCTCCTCCTGCCCTCAATCTTTCCCAGCATCAGGGTCTTTTCAAATGACTCAGCTCTTCACATCAGGTGGCCAAAGTTGTTGGAGTTTCAGCTTCAACATCAGTCATTCCAGTGACACTCAGGACTGATCTCCTTCAGGATGGATTGGTTGGATCTCCTTGCAGTCCAAGGGGCTCTCAAGAGTCTTCTCCAACACCACAGTTCAAAAGCATCAATTCTTTGGTGCTCAGCTTCCTTTATAGTCCAACTTTCACATCCGTACATGACTACTGCAGAAACCATAGCCTTGAATAGACGGACCTTTGTTGACAAAGTAATGTCTCTGCTTTTTAATATGCTGTCTAGGTTGGTCATAACTTTCCTTCCAAGGAGTAAGCATCTTTTAATTTCATGGCTGCAGTCACCGTCTGCAGTGATTTTGGAGCCCCAAAAAATAAAGTCAGCCACTGTTTCCGTATCTATTTGCCATGAAGTGATGGGATCAGATGACATTATCTTAGTTTTCTGAATGTTGAGCTTTAAGCCAACTTTTTCACTCTCCTCCTTCACTTTCCTCAGGAGGCTCTTTAGTGCTTTACTTTCTGCAGTAAGAATGGTATCATCTGCATATCTGAGGTTATTGATATTTCTTCCAGCAATCTTGATTCCAGCATGTGCTTCATCCAGCCCAGCGTTTCTCATGGTATACTCTGCATATAAGTTAAACAAGCAGGGTGACAATATACAGGTGTTTTTTATTCATGAGCCCTAGAACACACCTGCATTTATGGTAATGAGGTGATTCTTGAGCCCTGGATATCTGCTTCAGGACCTGGGCTGTTCACCAGAGAAACCAACCCTGTGGTCAGAGGGTTGGGTCTTGGAGCTAGTTCAGCCTCCAGGGAGAGGAGGGGACTGGAGATTGAGTTCAGTCACACAGCTGGTGATTTAATTGGTCATGCCCATGCAATGAAATTCTATAATAAAAATTTTGGGAACTCACCAGATTTGTAACCAGTTGGCTAGAAGTGTGGGTGACCTGGGATTCCACTTGTCTGGCATCTGAAGTGAGGCTTTCTTGCTGGGGATTCCGCCCTAAGAGTTGTGAAGTCCAGTGCTAAGTTACGGTGCTTGGTGTCCAAATGGAATTTCACACAGTATAGCAGTTGGCCTTGAAATGAAATAGATTTAGAAGTTGATTTTACGATGCTGTATACCTAGGATTTTTTAAACTGCCAGTGAGTCTGTTCTGGTTCGGGGGCACTGGCTCGGGACCCTGTGATGAGACCTAAAAGGCACGAGAGGAGGTAGAGTCCACGTGCCAAAGAGGTGGCTCTGAGTTTCCCATCGCCGCCCCGGGTGTCCTACGCCAGGCCCTGGGCGGAACCTGTGTGTCCCATTCCCCGGCTGCTCCTGGCCCTCTCTGGCTATGGCAGTGGCGGCGCTAAGGGACCCACCGCAGGAACAGTATGAGCTTTGAAGACGTTGCTGCGTACTCCTGGGAGGAGCGGAGGCTCCTGGGTGAGGCCCAGAGATGCCTGTACCTCAGTGTGATGCTGCAGAACTTTGCACTCATGTCTTCACTAGCTGGGGCTTCAGGGGCAGTGCTGAAGGCAGCGGGTGGCAGGACGTCCTTGCCTTCTTCCTGATCTTAATGACCCAGATAACCATGATGGTGTGATCACTCACCTAGAACCAGACACCTTGGAGTGCGAAGTCAAGTGGGCCTTAGGAAGCATCACTGCGAACAAAGCTAATGGAGGTGATGGAATTCCAGCTGAGCTATTTCAAATCCTAAAAGATGATGCTGTGAAAGTGCTGCACTCAATATGCCAGCAAATTTGGAAAACTCAGCAGTGGCCACAGGACTGGAAAAGGTTAGTTTGCATTCCAATCTCAAAAGAAAGACAGTGCCAAAGAATGTTCAAACTACCTCACAATTGCACTCCTTTCACACGCTAGCAAAGTAATGCTCAAAATTCTCCAAGCTAGACTTCAACAGTACATAAACTGAGAACTTCCAGATGTTCAAGCTGGATTTAGAAAAGGCAGAGGAACCAGAGATCAAATTGCCAACATCTACTGAATCATAGAAAAAGCAAGAGAATTCCAGAAAGACATCTATTTCTGCTTCATTGACTACACTAAAGTCTTTGTGTGGCTCACAACAAACTGTGGAAAATTCTTAAAGAGAGGGGAATACCAGACCACCTGACCTGCCTCCTGAGAAACCTGTATGCAGGTCAAAAAACTACAGTTAGAACTGTACATGGGAGAACAGACTTGTTACAAATTGGGAAAGGAGTATGTCAGGCTGTATATTGTCACCCTGCTTATTTAACTTATATGTAGAGTATATCATAGGAAATGCCGGGCTGGATGAAGCACAAGCTGGAATCAAGATTGCCGGGAGAAATATCAAAAATAACCTCAGATACGCAGATGACACCACCCTTATGACACAAAGTGAAGAGGAACTAAAGAGCCTCTTAATGAAGGTGAAAGAGGAGAGTGAAAAAGTTGTTCTAAATCTCAACATTCAAAAAACCAAGATCATGCCATCTAGTCCCATCACTTCATGGCAAATAGATGGGGAAATAATGAAAACAGTGAGAGACTGTTTTCTCAGGCTCCAAAATCACTGTAGATTCTGACTGCAGCCATGATATTAAAAGACTTGCTCTATGGAAGAAAAGTTATGACCAACCTAGACAGCATATTAAAAAAGCAGAGACATTACTTTGCTGACAAAGGTCTGTCTAGTCAAAGCTGTGGTTTTACCAGTAGTCATGTATGGATGTGAGCATTGGACCATAAAGCAGGTTAAGCGCCGAAGAATTGACACTTTTGAACTGTGATGTGGGAGAAGACTCTTGAGAGTCCCTTGGACTGCAAGGAGATCCAGTCAGTCAATCCTAAAGAAAATCAGTCCTGAATATTCATTGGAAGGACTGATGTTGAAGCTGAAACTCCCATACTTTGGCCACCTGATTCAAAGAGCCTGCTCTTTAGAAAAGACCCTGATGGGAAAGATTGAAGGCCAGAGAAGGGGACGACAGAGGACGAGGTGGTTGGATTGCATCACCGATTCAACAAACATGAGTTTGAGCAGGCTCCGGGAGATGATGAGGATAGGGCGGCCTGGCGTGCTGCAGTCTGTGGGGTCATGAAGAGCTGGACATGACTGAGTGATTGAACAATAAATATATCTAGGTATAAACAGCCAAAATAACTTAGAAACACACTATTAAAACTGAATTAAATACTCAAACTGATAAAAATAATCAAATCTTAATTCCACACTTGTGATGGAGAATAAATATGCTATAAATATAATAAATAAATACCCCATTTTGCATTATGGGATCTATCACAAAATGAAAGATGTACTGTAAATTGCTATGAGCAAAATCTCATCTATTAATTGATCATATATGTGAAATTGGAGTTTTAATAACTTTTAATAACCTGACATGTCACATATGCCTTGCTTTAGGAATCTGATCATAAATCCCAGGTTATAAAGCAGGTGAGTTAGAAGGACATTTAATATGTCCACACTGTACCAAAGAATTCCCCACTGATTTTAAAATTTACCTAGCAAAATTATAATGTGATTTTACTTCCACATGTAATTAGTGTGAAACATATACATTGCTGAAGACTCACATGATAGCATTATTTAGTAATAAAATATTTTTAAATTAAGATACTACTTTTTTTAGACATGTTATCACATACTTAATAGTTTATAGTATACTATAAACAAATTGAAATAATAAAATTTTACTGGTCTTCCTCTTTCCACCCTATACCTTTGGTCACCTCTTCTTTTATTTCAGTCTATCTTCCTTCTCTATCTCTTATAACCTCATTATTAGTCTTGTTATTAAATTTTTGAAGATTAATGATAATACATATAAAACTCTTAGCATGTTGCCTGACACATGAACAGTTTTCAAATGTTTTAGGAAACATTCACAAAAGTTATACAATTTGATTAAGTTATGATCCACTGAGGAAATATTTGAACTTCAGCGTGTCTGGGTCCAGCATGAGGTTACATTAAAATGAAATTTCAGCACTATCAAGAGATGCAAATCTGCCACCATGTGAGTTCTCCATCCTTGGTGATGTTTATGTGTAGATCATGCAACCTGGATATTGTAGGTAAGGTGCAGGCAGAGTACAATAATTGAACTACATGATATTTATAAAAATACTTCTCATTCCTTAAAATGAGTTTTGTCAGATGTTTCAATTGGTATTGTGTGTTGAAAAGAATTTGGATGAACGGAAATAGTGATATTAAGATAAAGGCATTCCAGACTGAGAATGAAACAGTTTGTATATTAGGCAGCAAGAAGAAAGAAAGCAAAGCATGACTTTGTTGAAACCTAGAAAGAGTATTCTACAAAAGATTATGTTCTTTTAAGTAACCAGAAGTACTCAGTATAAACTTTTTTCTATATTTAACATATCTCATGGTACTGTGGTTTAAACAGATTTCTTACTATGAATTTTAAGAGTGAGCATACTTGTAACTCTTGATGCCACATTAGAATACTGAAAATTCTGCTTTTAATTAGATCAGCTTAGAAAAGTATGTTTTTTTGTAATGTGACCCCAACTTATGTTTTGCAGGCAGAAGCAACAGATCACCCACCTGCATGAAAGAATAAGGGATAATGAGTTACGAGCACAGCATGCCATGCTAGGACATTATGTGAATTGTGAGGATTCTTACGGGGCTGGTTTGCAGGTAAGATCACAAAGGATTTTGTAGTTGTTGTTTTACTAGTATTATAAAATGCGTCAAACATAAACTGTGTGATTAGGACCTTTTTGGGTTTAATAATCTGTTCCTATGATTCATATTTATGTGTGTAGTAAAAGATGTTCCAGCGCTGTTTTTCATCTGTCCAGTTCACATGCTTTTCCTGCACTAACAGGAACCACGATTATCAGTTTCTAGTATAGCCTTCCAGAGTTGATATTTATTACAACTCACAGATAAATTTATTTTATCCTACACAAAAGGTATCAAAATATATAAAATATTCAACATACTACTTTTTTCTAATTATGTAAAATTACATAAAATACAGTGACTATTTGCATATCATTACCTAGGCAGCATCCCTTTTTGCTTTTACAGCTGCTTGATTTCCCATTTTATGGAAACAGCATAATTTATCCAACCTATCTCTGCTTGTCAAAATTTGGGTTGTTTCTAATTTGGGGCTACTATGCATAATCTTAAAAAAGTGAAACTGCTCATTAAGCAATAACTCCCCATTTCACTCCCTGACCCATGGCAACTACCATTCTACCTTCTGTCTCTGTAATTTTTAATTACTCCAGGTATCTCATGTTAAATGGAATTATATAGTATTTATCTTTTTGTGACTGGCATGTTTCACTTAGCATAATATCCTCAGGGTTCATCCATATTGTAGCATGTGTCAGAATTTCCTTCCTTGTTAAGGCCGAATAATATCCCATTGGATGTCTACCACTTTCACTTTTCTACTCATCTTTCAGTGGACACTTGGCTAGATTCCATATTTTATCTGTAGTGAACAAACTGCTGTGAACATTTTTGCATCATTTATTTGAACATGAATACTATTGGCAAAATAGTTTATGGTAGTATGTACTTCTATTTGGTCATTTCCATTTATATCTTTATTCTTAGAATTAAATTAAGTGTAATTTTTTCCTCCATTATATTTTCAAACTTGCAGTTTTATTAAAGGCATTATTATATTAAAATCAGGACATGATAAATAAAGACCAAATAACAGACTTATTTGATGCAGAGGCACATAACATGGAGATTCCAGCTTGTTTATCATACTTCAGTTACTAATATATCAAATACCTTGTTATTATGTGATGTCATCTAAAAGTTCTACCACATGACAGCAAGTCTCTATCATACTGAGATTAATAGTGTTCAGTTATTTGAAAATGGTATTTCTGTATTACTTAAGTAGTATATTTTGCTTTGATAAGGGTATTTTAATAGAACCATGCAGTTTCTCCTTATAACTTCATTATTCTGAATAAAGGTTTTACTGGAATTATACAGTTATTATTATGTTACCAAAAAACGTAAAACTTACTGTCTGTCTGCAAGCTAAAGAAAATGTTTTTTGACACATAGTATCAGACCAGTAGAGGGCTCTCTAAGTCAGTCTGCAAGGACAGATAGAAATACAAGGAAAATGGGGTTGCTAAAAATATTGTAAGAATTTTAAATTATGTGGGGGAATTAAAATATTGTTGAGAAATTCATTTTAAAGGGTAAGTGTGAGACTCCCCTGGCAGTCCAGTGGTTAAAGACTTCACCTTCCAATGCTGGTTCAATTCCTGGTCAGATCTAAGATCCCACATGACTTGTGATGGAAAAAACCCCCAAAAAACATAGAACAGAAGCAATGTAACAAATTCAGTAAACACTTTAACAATGGTGTACATCAAAAAAATCTTTTTAAAAAAAGGTAAGTGCAATTAATAAAAGAGAATGCAAGGAACCCCTTCCAACACTAAATGGATACAAGGAATATATACATTTTTTTTCCGGTAGATTGATACAGAGAGTGAATAAAATGGCAAAGGTTTAGAAGTAACAACTAATATGATAATAAAATTCTCCTTAGTGAAGGAATTTTTTATTTTTCTTTATATTTTATTGAACAAATTTGACATGTAATATCGAATGAGTTTGGGCTTCCCTTGCGGCTCAGAGGGTAAAGAGTTCACCTGCAATGCAGGAGATCTGGGTTTCACCCCTGGGTCTGGAACATCCCTTGAAGAAGGGACTGGGTACCCACTCCAGTATTCTTACCTGGAGAATTCCCATGGAGGAGGAGCCTGGGGCTGCGGTCCATGGTGTCACAGAAGAGTCAGACACGACTGAGTGACTCAGCACACACACACAGTGTGTGTTTAAGGTGTATGGCATGTTGCTTTGATACATTTGTATGATATGATTGCTATTTTAGTGGTATTTATCACATTACATAATTGTAGTACAATATTACTGTCTGTATTCATTACCCTGTGCATTAACTACTTGTGGCATATTTACTGCTTGTTGAAATTTTACCCTGAAACACCACACTCTTATCCTCGGTGGGTGCTCCACCCCTTCCCGTGATCCCTGATAAGAAGGTTCTCTCCCTTTATTATAGGTTTAATTTATTTAGATTCCACATGTAAGTGGTATCATACAATACTTGCTTTTCTTTATCTGATTTATCTCACTTAGCATAATGTGCTCAAGATCTATGTATGTGTGAAGAAAGCCTCCTTTCTCATGGCTGAATAAACTCCTTTGTGTATTACATCTTTTATCCATTCATACATTGATGGACATTGGTATTGTTTCCTTATCTTGGCTGTTGTAAATAATGTTGTGATAACTATGGAAGTGCATATATCTTGTAGAAATCATGTTTTCTTCTGGGTATATATCCAGAGATGAAATTGCTGGATCCTATGGTAGATTTGTTTTTTTTATATTTTTGAGGAACCATCATATTGTTTTCTGTAATGGCCATGCTAATTTATACTCCCACCAACCGTGTTTAAGAGGTCCCCTTCCCACCACATCCTTACCAGCACCCCTTATCTCTTGTCTTCTTTATGATAACCATTCTAACAGGTGGGAGGTAAGATATTATTTTGATTTTGATTTGAATTTCTCTGATGATTAGCATTCCCTGATGTGATGTTGAGCATTTTTTCATGTGTCTGTTGGCCATTTTGATTTTCTCTTTGGAAATATGTCTGTTTAGTTCTTCTGCCTATTTTTCAACCAGGTTGTCTTTTGTTAAGTTGAATGAGCTTTTACGATTTTGAATTTTAACCCCTTATCTGACATGGGGTTTGTAAAATGTTCTCCCATTCAACAGGTTGTCTTTTCATTTTGTTAATTGTTTCTTTTACTGTTCTTTTTTAGTTTGATTAGTCTCATTCGTTGATTTTTGCTTTTGTTGTTTGTCCTTTTGGCATTATGTAAGAAAAAAGTCATTGCCAAGACAAATATCCATGACTTCTTCCCTATGCTTTCCTCTGGGAGTTTTATGGTATCAGGTCTTATGTTAATTTTTGTGAGTCATGTGATGTAGGGGTCTACTTTCATTGTTCTGCATGTGTTTCTACACCTTTCCCAGCACCATACCCACTGGGTATTCTTGGCTCCGTGTTAAATACTCGTTGACATTGTATTTCAGAGTTTAACTGTGGGCTCTCCATTCAGCTTCAGTGGTCAATGTGTCAATGCCAGTACCAGTTTTATTGCTGTGATTTGTAGGGCAATTTGGGATCTAAAAGTGTGATGCTTCTGGTTTTCTTCTTTTTCTCAGTATTGCTTTGGCTGTACAGGGCCTTTTCTGGTTCCACACATACTTTAGGGGGTTGTTTATTCTATTTCTGTGAAGAGCAGCAAAGGAATTTTTTCCTTGGATTTATAAACATTACTTTTTATGCACAGCATTTTGTATTTGCACATTTTTTGGGTCCATAACTTGTTCATCCTAACTCCTTAGTATATTTAACAAAGGAAATTATGCTTTTAATATTCTGTTTATTCTAGGTTTAAAAAGAATATTTTTGAAATAAAATAACTTTTAAATTAGTTTATAGATGAAAAACACAACTCTTGAGAAGTAAATTCTATTTGCCTATTAAAAACTTTGAATGACCGTACCATCAAAATGACCTGAGAACTAGACATTGCTAAGTCTCATAGGTGGAAAATGAGAACCAGGTCTTTGTCCTAAATTCAAACTTCCTCAGTTGTTTCAGTAGTAGAATTACTAGAACCAAAGAGTGGTTTGTACTTATAATATCTTATACCAAAATTTCAACCTGTGGTTAACTTGCATGGAACAAAACCCAAATGTGAAAGACCCTTCTTCCTTTTATTAAAAATTGAAGAAGAAAGGCCAGCACTTGTTACTTGTTGTCTTTCTGATGATAGCCATTCTGACAGGTATGAGGTCGTATCTCACTGTGGCTTTGATTTGCATTTCCCCAACAATTAGTGATGTTGAGCATCTTTTCACGTACCTGTTGGCCATCTGTGTGTATTCTTTGAAAAAATCTTTTTCAGGTCCTCTGTCCATTTTTTAATTGGTTTTTTTCTTTTTTTTTCCCCTTGATGTTGAGTTGTATGAGTTCTTTGTGTATTTTGGATATTAACCTCTTATCAGATATATCATTTGCCTTTATCTTCTCTCTTTCAGCTCTTGTCTGACTCTCCTTCAAAGCCTTGCTCATGAAGGGAATAATACATTTGTTCATTTAGCAATTATTTTTTAACTTATCTTGTGCCCAGTCCCTGCTCTGTGAAATAGGGATAAAATAACAATTAAGATGGACAAAAATTCCTGATTTCATGAGCCTTACTTTCTGGTTAGGGGAAGCACTCTGTTAATACTTATTGATATGTATTTATTGGTATGTATTAACTTTACTAGGGATGTCTCATTTACCTGTTTGCTAAAAGTGACCACTTGTGAGAAAAGACTTCTTTAGTTTTTATTTCCCCAGAACTTTTACTTCTTTATAATGTACTTTTTACGTTCTAATTATGCCTTTTAACCAAATAATAACTATGTTTCATTTAGCTTCTGCCTTGTGCTAGGAACTTCATGTCACTTGGCCCTGGTAGGTAATTTGAATTGATCATGGCACATAACTGGGAATCAGGAGAGCTGGGATTTATGCTGAGGTCTGTCATTAAAGGCTGTGTGTGCTCTTCGTCCTGTCCCTCATTTCCAGTTTCTTTCCATTGGTTCAGGACAAGTAAACTTTTAAAGCCTTGCCTGTGTGTTTCTCTTTCTGAATAGCCACAATATGAGAACACCTCCCTCCAGACTCCATTTTCAGACCAGTCAGCATCCCATTCCCAGCACGAGGAACTTGAGCAAAAGCTTGCATCTACTGAGAAAGAAGTTTTACAGCTCAATCAGTTTCTCAAACAAAGAATAAGCCAATTTAGTGACGAGAAGAAGAAACTGGAGGAAAAGGTAGGTATTTTTAATAAAGTTGAATAAGGCCAAGGGCATTCCTTCAGCATACGATTTTTTTGTTATCTACTTTATGCCAGATGTTTTATCGTTTATTATACTAAAGTGAATAGTTTTACAGTAACTTTTCAGAAACACTGTGCTATCTACAAAAATCCAGGCATTTTTTTTGAGAAACAAAAATAGCATTGTATATTATATTATGTCTTTCTAAATAATAATAAAGTTCTTTTTAGTTGCCTATGCTGAGATGTGATACCAATAACTTTTCTGCTTTTCCTTTTTGGGTCCTGTATCTTTGTCATGTGTGGTATGAAGGATTGCAAAATGAAATAAAAATGGTCTTTCTTTCAGAAGCACATGATTTCAAGTTATTTAAGCTGAAGCCCTTGAATAGAATAAGTAGCCGAAAGCCAAATGCCTATATATACACAATATATCTGTGCATTTACTTGATCTTTCTACCTTTATTAAAGTATTTTCACATACTTCATCTCATTCCATTATAGTATCATTTAAAAATCATCTTAAGCAGCTACTTAGTTGTGGAACTGGCTTCAGATTTCTCTTGTTATACTCAACTTATTATTCTGTTAACCAACCTTCCATTCAGGTGATCTTAAGGCAGTCACCATGATTTTCTGTAGACAAGATTGGCACTATTGATAAGGAACTCATTGATATTTTTGAATCAGTATAGATATACATGTGTGTGTATACACACACACACACAAGCTAAAATTTTTTATCTTCCAAACAAAATTTGACATTTTATATGGTAGATAGAAATTGTTGAAAAGCTAGAAGTAAAATTCAAGACAATCTAACTCTTTGTTTGCTGCCTTGGTTCTAATAATGATTTATTAAAAAAATTAGAGGAAAATACTTTCTCCCTAGTCTTTTTTGTTCTAATAATTGTATTTAAAATAAAGAAACATAAATCTGTTTGTAAATTTCTTCTAAAATAGGACTCTCCTATTGCCTTCAGGGAATGATCTCAATATTGTATAATACCTCCTTGAAAGAAAAATCTTAGCTTTTCATAACTGAGATAAGAAAGGTGTGTTAGCATTGTCTCATCTGCTGGCCTCCCTGGGGGCTCAGACAGTGAGGAATCTGCCTGCAATGCAGGAGACCCAGGCGCAGTCCCTGGGTTGGGAAGATCCTCTGGAGAAGGGAATGGTTACACACTCTAGTATTCTTGCCTGGAAAATTCCATGGATACAGGAGCCTGGCGGGCTGCAGTCCATAGACTCACAAAGAGTCAGACATGACTCAGTGATTAACCCTTTCCATTTTACTTTCTTTTCATTTTTTGTTGCTGTTTTTCAGTCACAAAGTTATGTCTGACTGTTTGCAACTGCATGGACTGCAGCTTGCCAGACTTCCCTATCCTTCACCATCTCCTGGAGTGCTCACACTCATGTCCACTGAGTTAGTGTTGCCGTCCAACCCTCTCATCTGTTGTCCCCTTCTCCCCCTGCCTTCAATCTGTCCCAGCATCAGGGTCTTTTCCAGTGAGTCAGCTCTTTGCCTCAGGTGGCCAAAATATTGGAGCTTCAGCTTCAGTGCTGTCCAATTATTTGAATATTCAGGGTTGGTTTCCTTTAGGATTGACTAGTTTGATCTTGCAATCCAAGGGACTCTGGAGAGTCTTCTTCAGCCCAGCAGTTTGAAAGCATCAATTCATTTACCCGTAGGTAATTACTGGAGTTCAAAATTCAGTGACCTCTATTAATCTGAAACACAAAACTTGGAAGTTAAACAAAAACCAGAAAATAGAGAACTTCTCATCAGTCAGCAGGATAAAGAAAAACAAGAAAACTAAATCCAATAATTATGTGTGATCAGCTGCTTGTGGTCACAGATAACAGAGATGATGTTTGATCAAGTGTTGGCCAAGATCTGTGATCCAGAGCAGCAAGCTTGACATGAAGCAAAGAAGAGAGTTGACTAACCAGAGAAAAAGAAGGTGCCTAGGACGCCTTTGCGTGGTAGACGACAGCGTGACTAAGTTACTCTAGTGGCGCCTTTCTGAGGTCGCAGTTATGTCACGTTTAATTTGTATTTGCTTTGTTTTTAATTGATCTTGAGTATGAAAGAGCTGTAGCAGTAGTATCTCTACAGAATCTAAAGATTTGTATATTTTAGGTGGAAAGGCAAAAACAAATAACACATAAAAATCCGAGGTTCAACCTGTACAAATTGGGATTTACTAGTATTATGAATTGTATATGTTCTCTAGTAGGTGTTCAGTTAATGTATTTCATCAGTCGTAGGGTGGCATTAATGATAAGGTACGTTTTTATTTTATGTAATTCTTGGAGGGAAGATACGCTACAGGTTCAGTTTGACACAGTGCTTTAACAACAGCCTTGCTTGAGCTGTGGATTACTCTCACTATTCCCATTATTTTTCTTAAGTATTTGATCATTTTGGTAAGTGTCCTGGCTTTGATTGCATTGCTTTATTTGGTACACGATAAGCAATTCCTTTGTCTGTAAGTAACAAAAACAGCTTTAATTACTTATAGATATCTTCTTTTCTTAATTCACATAAAACATTGCACATAACTTTGCAAGAAATAAATTAAAGTCATCATTCCAGAGATGAATACTTGCTACACTGATTTCAGAATTATACCCTGAAACTGTTTCTGTCTTTCTGGGTATCAAGACAGAAACAATGCCAAAAGAAATTGGTTTTTCAATGCCAAACTATATAAAATTAGTTTTTCAATGCCAAACTATAATGTAACATTTTGAAAGTATTTTAAATGCCATTTAAACTTAGCACTCTTTCAACTTGTACATAATACTGTTGAAATGAAAAGATATGAATAGTCTTGACCAGATTTGCACATGTGCAGACAATAAAAACTATAGCATTCCTGCAGCCTGGCTGACTGCAGTTTATAGAACATCATCACTTGTAAAGCAAATAAAAAATTCCCAAACTCTTAATTTCAGTGATAAGAGAATTTGCAAAAATGTGAATCTCAGAATTTATGAAATAAAGTAACTCATACGTAAGTTGGAAGTGATGTTAGCTATATCTGGAACTGTTGGCGAATTCGGTGATGTCTAAGATTAGGATGTTTATATAATAATAATAAGATGATTATTTTTTGACACAAAACCACTAAAGATTCTTAATCTTTTTATTTAGCTTAAAACCAGAGATAGATACATCAGTAGCTTGAAAAAGAAATGCCAGAAGGAGTCTGAACAGAATAAAGAAAAGCAGAGAAGAATTGAGACCTTGGAAAAGTATCTGGCTGATCTTCCAACTCTTGATGATGTGCAGAGTCAGAGTCTACAGGTAACATGAAATAAAATGCTGATCTTTAAATGGCAGGAAACACATTCTTTTTTGAATTTACTCTTTTGACATCTGAAATTTGTAGTTTTTCATTCATTTTGTAAATTTTTATAATTAAAATTTTTGGTTGTATATTTGGCTAATTGTAAGTTAAATCTGTGTGCTTAATTGCTGTTTTTAGGATTAACTTTAATTAGAAACTTTGTTCATTTAAGCATGAATAGATCTTTCTTTTTCTTAATTAATATGTGGTTTCCTCCCTAATGAATCTGTGTCTTAACTCTCTCACTGTTCTACTCTAAAAGATAGTTTCTAAACCACTGACACCCCACTCCATGCACACACCACATGCACCTCAGTTCTGACTTTTCCCAGTATTCTCTGGGAGCCACCGAGGCTTAACAAGACCTTTCTGGACTGTCTTTCTAGATATTTGTCTTGTTTTCATCATTCTTCTTAATCTTTCCATAAATTCTTTCTTATACTTTAATCTATGACCTCCATTCACTCCTCTGACTTCTGACTGTTTTCCTTTCTTAGCAATATCTCATCCAAAGTCCTTTTACCAACTCTGGTAAGGCCTTTCCTCATGAGACCTTATTTGTAAATGCTACAGATTTAGAGTAATCCATTAAACCTACTCTTGAGTCTTAAAGTCTTTCTGATCATGGGATTTTCAGTCTCCATACTATTGATATTTGAGGGCAAGTAATTTTTTGTTGTTTGACTCTATTCTGAGCATTAAAGGATGCTTAACAACATTTCTGGCCTCTGTCTACTGGATGCCGGTAGCACTGCTCCTTCTCTTCCCACTAAAGCAAAAATGTCTACAGACTTTCCAGATGTCTCCTGCAGGGAGTGGAGGGATGAGATCTTTGATCTAATCCATGGTATATGTTATTCTGTAGACTTTAGACCTACAGCACATTCTCTGTTTACATTAATTTATAAGTTGTAAAACTAAGAGAGGACTATAGATTTTAAAATGTGTGTTCATACCACATTATACCCATTAGGAGACTAATTGTCTAAAAAACAGAAAGTAACAAGCATTGGTGGTGATGTGGAGAAATTCTAATTCCTCATGCACTGTTGGTGGGAATGTAGTATGGTGCAGCCACTATTGTAAACCATATGAGAGTCCTCAAAAATATTAAAAACAGGATTACTATGTGCTCCATTAATTCTGCTTCTGGGTGTATACTAAAAATAATGGAAAGCAGAGTCTCAAACAGATGTTTATTCACAATGTGCGTTCATAACAGCGTTATTTCCAATAGCCAAAATGTAGAGGCAGCTCGAGTGTCCATCCGTGGACGAATGGATGAACAAACTGTGATGTATACATACATTATAACCTTAAAAAGGAGCAACTTTCTTACATATACTGCAACATGGGTGAACCTGTGGCCATTTGCTATGTGAAATAAACCAATCACAAAGATAAATAGATTAAAGATAAATGAATCAGAGAAAATAGGTATGAGGTACCTAAAGTAATTGAATTCATAGAGACTTAGAGATAGAAAGTCAAAGGGTGATTGCCAGGGGTTGAGGGGAGATGCAGATGGAGAGTTGTTAGTGGGTAGAAAGTTTGTTTTGCAAGATGAAAAGAGTTCTGGTGATTAGTTTATGACAATGTGAATGTACTGAACTCTACTGAATTATACATTTAAAAATGGTTATTAAGATGGTAGATTTTATATTATGTATATTTTGCCACAATTAAAAATAGAATTATACCCATAAACTGAGATTATTCACCTTCCTCTCTATGGCTTCCAGAAATTTCTGACTGTATTTGCCTCTTCTCCATAATCCCATTCTCTCAGCTCCCTTTTATGCAAAGGAAGAGATCAAGTGTTAAGTTCTATACATGAGATGAAGTTAGTGTGATTTTAATAATCAGTCTACTAATTCTTGAGAGCCTGGTATTGATTTCTAGTGGAACACATTTAATATTCTTTGTGTTATGAACTTTTAAAAAATTTCTCTTTAGCTTCAAGTTCTAGAAGAAAAAAATAAGAATTTGCAAGAGACTTTGATAGATGTGGAAAAAAAGCTTGAAGAGTTCAAAAAACAGTATCAAGAAAAAGAGGCACAGCTCATATGCCAGAAAAAGAAAGAAAAGGAGTTGGTAACTACAGTTCAAAGGTAAGAAACCCTCAGTAATCCTTTTATGTTATTTTTAGTTTATTCTTTATTTTTCAAAGAGTATTTTCACTTAAAATGAGTTAATTTATAATTAGTGCTGTTATTTTTCTTAAAGATGTACTGTTGATAACTAAATGTATTATGTCATCAAAACAGTTTGTCTCAGTTGCAATTTATTTGATCCAGTGTACTGACATCTTGGTTTTAGATGAGTTTAGATGAGAATAGTTTTTTTAAAAGACACCAATTGAAAACAGGAAGCATTAACACAAACCCTTTATCTAACGGCTTTGTCAGAGAATACGTAAAAGTTCTAAATAACAAAAAGAGGAGCAGCTGGACTGCACTCCCTACTGGGACCTGTCAGAGCGTCCTAACTGGTCCCATTTCACCTGATTGCGGACTAACAGATGTGGCTCTTTGCCAGATACGTTCCAAGTTTTCTCACATTTCTCTCAGCTCACAGGACTCTTCTAATTTAATCAGTTAGGACTGCAGTGCATATTATTTGTTTGTATATTTTGTTAATGTAAGTGAAAATTGATATTGGATTCCTGAAAAACCTAGAAAACTAGGCTGTATATTCATCAACATATACTCTGTTTTTTAGAACTTAAAAAACCTTAATAGATGATCAACTGTTAGTAGGAAAACTATCCTAAAGAGGAAAACAACAAAGCAACAAAAAACTGAATTTAAGACACTCTTAATGCTTGTATCAAGTATATATAACTCAACATAACTTTTTTAGTCAAAATCCTTCAGGTAATTCTATGTTAATATTGCTTTACTACTATTTTCTAAGTCTTAAGTATGTCTGGTTTACATTTTCCCCTTGGATTTCAGTGCAGAAAACCTCTGATTTCTAGGACAATTCAGTCCTCAGTGTCTCTAATCTCAGCTTCAAAAAAGTCCATACACCTTTGACTCTACCTTTATTTTTCTCCTGTTTTCTGCTTTCTTGATCTTAAATTTCTTTTTATCACTCCACATCTTATATCCTATTCTCTAGTCTCAAAACAGCTTCCTGACCTCTGTTAATTCAACCATGTATCTTTCTTTAATCTTAGGACAAAAGGCCAAGGGATAATGCATTTGTTGTTTTATAGAGTGCTACAATCATAAATTCAAGCTATATTTTTATGAGTAGAACTAGGGACACCTGAAAATAATTTGAATGTTTGTTTTGTTCCATTGTGTGCTTTTACATATTTAATATGATTTTATACCTTCTCTTTTATTTTGATTTTCTCTTTTATTATGCTTTTGGAGAACATTGAGCTTGGTATTCTTGATTTGGAAAGATTTAGTTAAGTGCATTATAGAATTCATTTTCCATATCTTCAGTTTCTTGATCCTGAGATGACATCATATCAGGAAATTTCTCTTGATTTCTAATAAACATAAGACCAGAGAAGCTGCTCTAAAATTCTTCAGCGCTTGTATGCCTATAGTGTCAGCTGACTTTGGGGGTAGGAATGTTATTTCAGTTTCCTCAACTATATGATGTAGTTGGTATTCCTTAAGTTTCAGAAGAATTTAAGATGTATTATGTGACTATAGGAGAAGGCAATGGCAACCCACTTCAGCACTCTTGCCTGGAAAATCCCATGGGCAGAGGAGCCTGGTGGGCTGCAGTCCATGGGGTCCCGAAGAGTTGCACACGACTGAGCGACTTCACTTTCACTTTTCACTTTCATGCATTGGAGAAGTAAATGGCAACCCACTCCAGTATTCTTTCCTGGAGAATCCCAGGGATGGCGGAGCCTGGTGGGCTGCTGTCTAAGGGGTCACACAGATCGGACACAACTGAAGTGACTTAGCAGCAGCATGTGACTATAAATTATATCATTACATTGATCTGCTTTTATATTCTATTCCCAAGTTTCCTGTTTTGTGAATATGTCAGAACTTTTGGGATTTAAAAATGAGGCAAAAGTTTTTCATTTAGAAATGAAATCTAAGTGAAATATGTGGAAGGAATTCATAGTAATGCAGTAGTTGGTACCTTTGCTGCTCAAAAGATTTATTACTTTCCTAAGTGAGCATGCTTTATAACATAAACAAAATGAGAATGAGTACATGAAGGAATACTTTTTTGATATTTTTACATGACAGAGTACATTTTTCCTTCTACATTACTGACTCTTTTGTTTTCTTTTTAATGAAAAGCCTTAATAGTTTTGATGTAATTCATTTTTCTTGAAATGTTTATAATAAATACATAGAAATGGTATCTTAACTCTGAATTGGGACAAAAACATTCTGAGATAAATAACATATTTTTTCACTCTTAGACTGAAGAAGCAGATACTTTAACAGTATATTACAAAGCCATACAGTGTATTTGTTATATGTGAAAACTTCTCTGGTGCCATTATGTATGAACACATCTGAATACCTCATTGTACTATTTCGGACTGTCAATTCTGTGTATGGTATTTCTTCTTTTTGAGGGATGTGGAAGAGGAGACAAAACATGACAGCCATAATAGTTGAAAGAGGAAAATAATGAAAATATAAAAATCCACATTAAAGGAATTCTGTTTCTTTTAGTAGGCTGCAACTCTTGAATATGACTACATGCTAAAGTAAAACTATTTCTAGGTGTCTTGCTGTTTTGTTTTGGTTTGGGTCATTGTTGTTAATGGCATAGTTTCTTTTAACCTAAACAATACTACTCTTCCTTTCTCAAAGCTGACACCTCCCCCCGCCCCTTATCTTTTTTCTTAATATACCAGAGGGGCTTCCCTTTATTGTTTCCTCATAAATGCAACTCTGTGCCAAGCATAGCATGAGGAACTGTTATGTTACATAATAAATGTATAAGATTATTGCTTTTCAAAGAGGAGGCCCCACTCAACATCCAGTACAGATTCTGGTCATTACAACACCGATCATACCTGTTGGGCCAACACACACTGAGGAAAGACGTGGCAGGAATCCACACTAAAAACAGCCCTTGCGTCAAAAAAAATTATATTCAGACAGACTGCACAGAGATACTCCCACAAAACAGCCCTTCAAGACCTCTAGGTAACTGTTTCTCCTAAACTCATACAGTTAGAGAAATATGAGTAAAATGCAGAAGCGAATGAACTGCTCCCAATTAAAAGATTGAGAGAATTCCCTAAAGGAATAAACAATGAACCTGACCTTTCTAGTCTACTACGTCCCAGGTTCAGAATGAAGTTAAGAAGAATGCTGAAGGAAGTTAAAAAAAGCTGTTGATAGAAATGCAGTATTGTAAAAAGAAACTGGATTGTTGCTCTCATTCATGAAGGAGAAATGTAATTCTGCTGATTAGGTAACAGATATCTTTATGAACAAACTTTTGCTGAACTAAAAATGAAGGGCAAAAGACATATATCCATATTCTTAGGCTCTACCACAGTCAAGGAACTCCCTACCACATTCCTTAATCAAGGAACTCGCCTTTTGGGAAGAAGGGAAAGAACAGAGTTTGGATTGCAGAGTTCAGATTAGGGTCATGAAGGATTTCACATACTAAGCGAATGTGGTCTCACATTTGCTGTTTCTGAAAAGATAATCTACCTCCATTATATTTTTTTACTTGTAAGAAATGTAAGTACTCGAACTTACTCATCTACTCTCTGTAGGTTATTATTGCTTACTTAAAATATGTTATAGACCCTAAGAAGAGACTTCATTTATGTTGAAGTCATCTACCAAAATCAGCACATAGAGCTTATTTTCTTCATATAATTGTCTCTCTAAAACAGTTTGCAGCAAAAAGTAGAAAGATGCCTTGAAGATGGAATTCGCCTTCCCATGTTAGATGCAAAACAGCTTCAGAATGAAAATGATAACTTGAGAGAACAAAATGAGAATGCCAATAAGGTCAGTACATATCTTTAGTAGTAAACTTTGATAGTGAAATCTGTAGATATATGTGTGTATATATAACTTATTTACTTTATTTGATTTATATTTTTACTAATATTTAGCAGCTTTTACAGAATTTTTAGTTTGAATGTCTTTATTAGGAAAGAAAATAACAATTTAAGTAACTTTAAATTAAATCCAAACTAAAGAAGTTATGTTATTTCTTAGCAAAAACAAAAGGATATCTTTTTCTTTCCTAAATTATTCAAAATCTGTTTCAAACTTACTAATTTTTTTTAATATTTATTTATTTGGTTGCGCTGGGTCTTATTTGTGGCTCACAGGTGTGAGCCTAAGCAAGTCCCTTAGGTGTGGCATCAAACTCTTGGTTGGGGTGGTATCTAGTTCCCTGACCAGGGATCAAAACTGGCTCCCCTGCATTGGGAGCACAGAGTTTTAGCCACTAGACCATCAGGGAAGTTCCTCAAATTTGTTTTTATAAAATGTAAAGATTAAAGGTTTATCACGAACTAGAGTAAGGCATTTGCAGTTTTTTATCTGTATGATCCAAATCATATGGCTATTTAAAGGATACTTTGTATAAATACTTTTGTTTAAAAAAAAAAGTCACATTTTGATTTTTTAAAAAAATTCATGATGCTGTGTGCTTTTGTTTTCTTGAAATTTAGTAGTTCTAAAAAAGCAATGAAAAAAAATTGATTCAGACTGATATATTTCCTATGTTCTAGATAATAGATAGCCAACAAGATGAGATTAACAGGATGATTTTGGAAATTCAGGTAAGAATATTTACACATTTTTAACCTAGCTGTATGCTCAGTTACATATCTAAAAATATTAAAGCATATATGTTTTCTATAAAACTATTCATAACACTTGAGATGACAATGATAAATTCTTTAATATTAATCTTTCAGTTTTTTAGAATGAAAATGATTCTTGGTAAATCATTTCTTCAAAAAATTGTTCTCTGTTCCTTACCTTGCCTCTTTTCAACTGGGTGTAGTGTATCTCTACTACTGAGAACACATTTGAATAAGATCATCAATGATATACTACTTATAGACAATGGACTGTTTTTAGTTCATTGTGACTGAGCAAGAACCCCTCCCCTCCTACTAATTCTATATGTTATTTTTCTGTATTATCAAAGTATAACACTGTGCATATTTGTGTCTGTTCTCCTCCTCATTTTCTTCATAGTGTGGAGACTACTGTAGATCACCTACTATCTAGAGCTTAGGGTGTCTGACCCATAATACAAACCAAAATTAGTAGATTAAGTGGATTTTCATTCTTTTATTGATTTGCCAAATATTTACTGAGCCCCTGCATTTTTGCCAGGTGCTGTTCTTAGCACCGGAGGTTCATCAGTGAACAAAGCAAGTCCCTGGCCGTTTTAGTGGGGTGAGTTGGAGAAATGGAAGTATAATGCCAAGTAGAGAAGTAAAGTGAAAGTCTCTTGGTTGTGTCCAACTCTTTGTGACCCCATGGACTATCCAGTCCATGGAATTCTCCAGGCCAGAATACTGGAGTAGGTAGCCGTTCCCTTCTCCAGGGGATCTTCCCAGCCCAGGGTTTGAACCCACGTCTCCCGTGTTGCAGGCGGATTCTTTACCAACTGAGCCACCATGGAAGCCCCAAGTAGAAATATGTGCTATTATTTTAAAACAAACAAAAAAGGGATAGAGGGCAATGACAGATCATGTTGCATTAGATACAGTGGCCATGAAGTTTTCCCCTAGTAAGTCACATTTGGATGTAGATTTGCATGGAGTTAACCAGGGGAGGAACATTCCAGGCAGAGAGAGCAGCCAGTGCCCTGAGTGTGGCTGTGCCCGGAGTGTTCTCCCCAAAGAGCAGGAAGGCGGCTGGTGTGGAGAACCCTGCTCGTGAGACCCAGAAACAGTTGACAGGGTGGGGGAAAGTAGCCTGGGGCCAGATCACACAAGGGGATATTATGTCTACGTATTTTATTCTTCAGGTGATAGGAAACCATTGGACAAGTTATGCTGAATACATTTTAATTTTTATATCTCCTGATTGGAGTATTCTCAAAGCTGGAAATAAGAATCACATAAGTGGTTTAAAACAGTGTCAGAATTTATGGACAGTCTGCTTTGTCTTTTGACCGTGTTAAGTGATCTATCAGTGTGATCAAATACTAGTCCAGTTCAGCAAGTATGTGGATTTATTGGAATGATTCACAGAGGTTATACTTTTTAATGTTTATTCCTTCAGTTGTTCTATAAGCCATTCAAACTGAGAGATGGTTGGTTTCCTCAGCCATTATCTAACTTCTTATCATGAACCACAATGAAAGGAATTTCTATTTTATTTGGTAACATTTTCCAGAAAAGTAAATCTAATAAAAACTATCTCAGTGCAAATTAAGGACAGTCAGCTTTGTCCTTTGGCATTGAAATTTTGGTGGCTAAGATGTGTTCAGTTCAGTTCAGTCGCTCAGTCGTGTCTGACTCTTTGCAACCCCATGGACTGCAGCACACCGAGCTTCCCTGTCCATCACCAACTCCCAGAGCTTGCTCAAACTCCATCGAGTTTGTCCATCCAGTCAGTGATGCCATCCAACCATCTCATTGTCTGTCGCCCTCTTCTCCTCCTGCCTTCAATCTTTCCCAGCATCAGGGTCTTTTCCAATGAGTCGGTTCTTCGCATCAGGTGGCCAGGGTACTGGAGTTTCAGCTTCAGCATCAGTCCTTCCATTGAATATTCAGGACAGATTTCCTTTAGGATTGACTGGTTGGATCTCCTTGCAGTCCAAGGGACTCTCAAGAGTCTTCTCCAACACCACATTTCAAAAGTGTCAATTCTTAGGTGCTGTGTATCTGAAGTCAAACAAATACTGATTTAGGTCAGTGACAAGTTTATTGATTCACAACTTTGAAGCTTGGGGAGAACTCAAGTCTTCTACCAATTATAATGTATTCATTGTTGAATATAAAAAAGGTTTTACTTCAGGTAAAAGTGTATACTTATTTTGAAATTCAATGCTATAAAAATGCAGATGTATCTGTTTTGTTCAGCTGTCAAGGTAATAATGTTAACTGGCACAATACCTTGATTGCTAGTTGATCCTTTAGAAATACTTTTATCCATGAAACCAGTGTAGCTAAACTGGCTTCTCTTAAAAGGTTCTTCTTCTGTCTGTACAATAGAAAAGACGTTTTGCAGTAGAATGTTTCCCATCATTTCCGTAAACCTGGCTACAGTCTGAGTGTGAATGAGTTCTTCTTTGGACATTATTACCTTCCTTCCTGTTTATTTCTCAAAAGTACATTTCACCCATGTAACTTTGTTTCCAGTGAAATCTTACCATTTTATGTTACCATTATAATCTTTTGGCAGAGGACATACAAAGTAAAAAGGTTTACTTGTTTACTTGTTTTTTTCTAACACATTAAAAAGTGTTCTCATTAAAAGGATTTATACACTTAAATGATTTTTTTACCAGTTTCCTTGGGGACCATTTCTGAGCAGCTCTTCATGTCATCATGCTAAAAGCAGAACTCTCAGGCAGATGGTTTGTAATGTTACATCAAGTAGCAAGATGATAGTTAAAGGAATCTGAGCTGGACACTATCTTTATTATTAAATAGAAACCTTAAGAAATGCGATTTTTATGGGGTCTGCATATTCCTTATTTGTAGCTTAGTTTTAAAATACTTTGGAAATGCTCTTTTATCAGTATGGAAGAATGAGGGAAAGTGATTTAATATTTGTCCACACTTAGACCAAAGTGAGAAATGGAACGTCTGTTGCCAAATGAAGTGGTGTCAGTGATGGTTCTGGGTGATGATATTATATGTTACAGGAATGGTTCTTTCTGGTTTATGTTTAGTATCCCTAAACCTCAACAGTAATTGTACAAAGTAAGAAAGTGTATTTTTATACATGAAGTTTCTGAGATTTTGAAAGGTGTGCCCAAATCTCAGCTGAGATTCTAAGTCATGTCTGTCTGACCTCAGAGTTTGTGCCTTGGGCATTAATCCTGGCTGCCTCAAAGTGAAAAATAAAAAGTTAGTCTGATTTGTTTCTTATATTAATATAAGCCATAGGGGAGAGAATTGTTTTAAGGGCTTTTCCTGGAATGAAAAATAGTTAAGCTGGAGTACGTTGGGAAACTGATCTCCTGTGGAAAGCACCTTATACTCAGTTACCTCGAAGTGCAATTTGGCAATTTTGTCCCGAAAGTGAAATTTTTTAGTACATTGCACTCTTCTATATGGTGGCATTATTAGCTTCTTGAGAGGAATAAAATGCCTTTTTTTCCCCTGATACATTTATTTCAAAAGCTTTATAATAACTTTATCTCTTACTGTGTTCTGTCATCCATCCTAGCTCTCTTTGCTATTTCTCACACAGAAGAGACACCCATCTGCCTCAGAACCTTTGCACTGCCTGAAACATACTCTCTAGTTACCTGTGGGACAGTCTCTCACCTCCTTCAGGACTTTGCTTAGATGCCATCCTTTCCATGAGCCCTTATTCTATCGCATTTGAGATTCCACCCCACCCTCCATCACCACACTGTCTGTTCTCCAAAGCACTGGGCAAATTCTCATATGTGATACTACATAACTTACATATTTATTATGTTTATTTTCTTGGCCTTTTTCCTCCTAGTACAAGTTCCACAAGGACCAAGTGTTTTTGTTTTGTTCACTAATGTGGATATATTTTTGCTAAATGAATGATTATGTGAAAGAATGTATTTGTGAAGCTCTTGTGTGTGGGATTGGGTGAAGTGTGGGGTTGGTTACTTGTGTGTGTTTATATAGCAAAATTGCTGATACAAGATTCTTTCAAAATATTCTGTCCTAAATTAGGTTTGTGAAGTATGTAGAATACATTGAGTAAGGCACATTTGGTTTTTCTTCATTTGGGCTATCTGTATTTAGGGCAAAAAAAAAAAAATGGTTAGCATTTCTGGATATTTAAATCAAAATATTAATAACAAAGGAATTTAAAAACCACATTCAACTCCAGGAATGATTGTGATACATACCTGTTTAGATTAGTAACTCAGAGTTAAGTCACTATTAAACAAGAAATTTAAAGAGAAATTGTTATTTCTAGAGAAATTGTTATTTTTAAATTGTTATTTAAAGAGAAATTAATTTATTGTTAACTTCAATAATTCTATTCTAAGCTTAGCTGAAATTCCCCTGCCCTTGATTTTCTCTTAAACATATGCTTTTTCATGTAGTTTGAAATAGAGAAGTAATCTTTTAGCTGAAATGTTAACTGTTAGGCAGCTATAGCACTCACACCTAATATCCTATAAGTAGTACAGCATTTGGTCTTATTAGAATAAGTGTATCTGTGAACTCTTTACTCTGTTAAAGGGCCACTTGGCTAGTGCCTTTGAACCCAACCAACAAGCTTAATACTAATATTGATAAGCTTGATACTAATATTGTTCCCAAATTCAATTTTCCTTCTTATGACAAACAGCACCAGTGCCAAACATTTCTAATTTATTCTGGTGAAGAAGATTGCCTTTTTCTTCACTGATTTAAATTTAGTTTTATGTGGTAACACATTAATCAAATTTACTAGGTAATTATTAGTCACATTCAACATGATAAAAATAAAAAGCTATATAGTCTTTTAAAGAATTGTTTTACACCATTATGAAAATACCTCTTTGGGGTTCAGTTTTCATTGTTAAAATGAGATTTAGAGTAGTTTATTTGTAATGCCTTTCTTTACAATATTAATAAAATAAAGTCATAAATCTTAAGAAAATTTTGGATGAATTCTGGATTCCAGCCAAGTAATCTTGTCATGCCAGTAAGTATCAGTTTTTGGCTTGGTAAATAAATCCCAACATATCATTCAATCAAATGGATTTTGATTCAGTCAAGTGCACTTACAAAGGAATTTCACTACCCAAAAATATGTATTCTCAAATAGCCCATGTGACTTTGTGCTGTGGAGCTCATTTTTGTGGAATATAAAGCAAGTTTTTCCTTGAAATAAAATGTACTTGTTATAAAGCTTGATTCATTTGTATCCAACTTTTGAATTACTAAATATAATATTTTTACAGAGTTTAGCAGACAAATGAAATTAAAAAGCCAAAAGGTTAGATACTGTGTTACTGAGAAAACCGTTTTATATTTAGAGTCTTATCTCACCACTGGTGACAACCATCCTCTCTTATTCCATCCAGAGATAATGTGAGGGGGGAAAAAGTAGGTTGTGTGCTAATTAGGTGGTCAACATTCTGAAGTATTTTCAGTGTTGAGACTAAATACAGACCTGAAGGAAAAAAAAATGAAATCTCTTCTCTAGTCATATTTATTGATCTTGTGGTTTAAAAGGAGAAAAGTTGATAGAAAAAAGTCACTGATAAGTACAAGGTTTATAACAAGTTCTTCTGTGGTATGTTGCTGAAATAACCCAGGAGCTCTTAAAATATCCTATATTCTGCTTTGGTATACTCAAGATTTTCTCATGATAGTGTCGTGTTTGGTTAATTTATAATTTTATAATGCAGTTAAGAGAGAGGTTAGTTTATCTAGACCCCATAATAGACCTTTGGCTTGAATTCAACGTTATATTCACTGCTGGGAATATTGTACACCAAGAGGGGGCGTTTAGCTATGTTTCAAATAATAGAAAACAGGAATAGTCTTAAGATCTTATTATCTTGTAGTTTATTAATCATAAGAAAAAGGTTGGTTTTTTTTTTTTAAGTATGTTGTGCTGTGCATAGTTGCTTCAGTCATTTCTGACTCTTTGAGACCCCAGGGACTGTAGCCTGCCAAGCTCCTCAGTCCTTGGGATTTTTTAGGTAAGAATACTGGAGTGGGTTGTCATTTCCTCCTCTAGCGGATCTTCCCAACCCAGGGATCAAGCCTACATCTCCTGCATTGCAGACGGATTCCTTCCTGCTCAATTTTTTAAGTATAGACTTGCTAATACACTCCCAGTATATAAATGAGAATCAGTAAAATAAAAACTGTAATATGGCATTAAACTGCACCTTTAAATTTAACATGTTTTACCAAGAATTGAAACTTATTGGTAAAGATGATATTTTTCCTTCCTCTCCACTCCCCCACTCTTTGGAACTATCCACTCTAGAAGTAATATGAGTTAATTGAGCAGTGGAGGCCTCATTTTCCAAGGGATTGGGGAAGTCAGGACATCTAAAGTGTTCAGAGCCAGTATTCCTGGTTGCCTACCTAATTGCATTATGCTTTAAGCATTAACATGTTTTGCTTGCTAATTCTCTTTATCGTAGTCTATGCAAGGGAAGCTTTCTAAAGAAAAATTGACTACTCAAAAGATGATGGAAGAGCTGGAGAAGAAAGAAAGAAACCTTCAGAGATTAAGAACATTGCTTGATGTGAGTAGAAGAAACTCAGATTGCTTTCAAGGATGAATCAGTACCTATTTAAGTTAAAGGAAATGCCTGTTTTGTACATATTCATAAATCATTTTTTAATTGAAGACTTGATTTTGTTGTGCCAGTTAATTAAATTCATTAGATTTCTTAATAAGATTATAATAAAAATACAAGCTTTTAGTTTTGTATTGTCTTAGAAACAATTTCATACACTTAACTACAGCAAAATCAGCTGTTACATAGAGATTAGATCCCAAGTCATGAAATGATGCATAAATTGAATATAAACAAAGTTACCCTTGAAAATCCTTAAGGAAGGTACAATGTAGACACTTCATCTCTGGAACAGATCACTTTCTTCATTTAATTATGAGATGAAATATTAATATTTGGCTTGCATTTAAGGACATGTTACATTAAAAAGTACTTATTTTAGTTTTTGAGCTGTCATCATGACATTTTCCTCTAAATACTTAGAAATACATCTCCAAAAATTAGGGACAGTGCCATTTCAGCATTGTCCCACCATATAAGAATAATAATTTTGGTATTATTGTTTGGTATTGATGTTTGGTATTACCTGTCTTAGAAAAATTTCCACCTTTCTTCCCCAAATATTAAAACCAGTATTCAATTCAGACTGTGTGTTGTGTTTCATTTTGCTTTTTAAACCTAAAGTTCTTTTCTTCTCCTTAACAAAATCAGGCCTTTTGTCTTATAGACTCAGATTTGTTATAACTGGATTTGTCTGATTGCTTCCTCATGGTGTCGTTTATCTTGTTCTCTACCCCTGTATTTCTTGTAAGCTAGAAGTTAAAGCTAAGGATATTAGACTCATTGCAAACATTTTTTGGCATGAATACTTTGTAAGTATTTTTCACATCATCAAATTATATGTGTTTGCTTATCCCACTGCAAGTGTCACAAATACCAGTCTCACTGGATTGAGGTGGTGACAGACTGATTCTTGCCACTGTAACACTAGCCTCTGCAATCAGCAGATCTGTGGGGTTGATACTTAGGCAAGTGTGTGAATATCCAGTATGCCAGCACCCTTTCCCTTGATAGTTTTAACATCCACCAGTGATCATCATCTGAATCATTCGACAATTAAGAGAGTAATTTTTATATCATTCCTTTTACAGTTATTAGCTGGCATTCTTCTATAAAAAATTGTATTTTCCTCATCAACCCAGGCTATTTGACTTTTCTGAAATTTCCAGTACCACCTGGAAAGTTAGTCAAACTTACCTTTAATTAGTAATTTTCAGGATGAGGAATAAGTTGTGGTAATTTGGAGAAGAAGTGAGTGTAGCTTTTTCTGAGCATAATAAATCATGAGCTCATACTGATACTTCTAATTCAGATTTAACAATTGAAAGTTGTTTGGGCTTTTTTCTTCATCTTTGATTTTATACTTTTTATTTCTTTTCCTCTTAACACTGAAAAAATTTGTTCCTAGCAACACTGTAACATATATTATTTTTTCTCAATGTACAAAAAATACTTTCATATTAGGTAAATCACTGTTGCTGCTAACAATAAAACTACGGGATGAGGTTTCAATTTTCTTTGCAGTTCTTTCTATTCTGGGGATAAATCTCATAGCAAATTATATAACAACCATGGTACTTTTAATATGAGACCTTGGGAGACTCCCTAGAAACTGAGTCTGTTGGAATTTAGGTTTCGTCTCTCAGATTTACCCTCGGACATCAGATGGCATAGAGGAACCCTTTCCAGTATTCAAATTCTTTTTCTTTTTCTTACTGCATGTATGCAGTTAAATTTGGTTACTGTATGTGTAATATGACTTCACTGTTTTGTTTATAGACTTGGATGGGAGAATGTCAACCCTTATGGCTTTTGAGTACCTTCCTCTGTTCTGACAGCCTGATTTTTGTTTTCTTTATCCACTGCAGAACCAAAGACAAACAGAAGAGACCTGCTCTTTATTGGATCAGGGCCAGGAAGCAGAACAGTCCAGGCAGCAGACCGTCCTTTCCAAAAGGCCACTCTTTGATTTGAGTGTGATTGATCAGCTGTTCAAGGAAATGTCCTATTGTTTGCTTGACTTGAAGGCATTGTGTAGTATTCTTAATCAGCGTGCTCAGGGCAAGGAGCCTAATCTTTCTTTATTACTGGGAATCAGATGTAAGTGGCTAATGACTTGTCCTAACTGTATTGCCTAACAATTAGAAACATACCTCTTGAATTATAAACTTGTGTCTTTTCCCTATTTATTTTTATCTCCCTTCCTACTTCGATTTATAAATTTCTGAATCAGTCTGTGGCTCTGAATACCTGTTACTGCTTAATAGCTAAAACTTACCTCATTGTATTTATAAAAATGAGGAGGGTCATAGTTGATCTGGACTGCCACTCGGAAGAATAAAAACAAATCCACATACATGGATGAGTTAGGAGATGTTGCCTGTGCCGAATTCAGTACGTGACCAGAATAGTAGTTAAGTGTGATTTTCTGATTGCTTTTCTAAAAGTGATGATTCTCTTTGCTTTCATGTGGCGATCGTGTTAAATTAATGACCCATCCATCAGTCCGCTGGTAAAATATCTGAGAAGACACTTAGAAGCTTTCTGTGTATGTTCTGTGGCGGCTGTCTAATGTAGGTGCCAGTGCTGCCACGTGAGCCAGTTTCGTGCCCACAGGTCCGCTGTCCTTGTGACGCGCGCCTGCTGGCTGTGTCCATTTCCATGTGAACCCCACCCATTCTGCCTCAGTTCCTCCTGCCCTCTCACGGGGAGAGCTGCCTCAATACTGTCCTAGGGTCTGGTCCCTTCTCTGCTGCTGTCGCTGGAACACTCAACTTACATAAGGGCCCCAAATCGTCATAATATTGATATGTTGGTCTCTTTTTAATATAGAGGAAATGGACTTCAGTAAGGAGAAATGAGTGGAATAAGACCACAATGTTTCTATACCAACATGCTGTATTGAGTACTTGCTTAATAATATGATTGGGTGGAGACTAGTTTTATTTTCAGTTTCATCAAAGAGATTCTACAATCTTGTATCGTAATAGTTATTTTGGCAAACCAAATAATACTCCTGATCATGTAACTGTACTCAGAGATGTCAGCAGAAGCTTCTTTTCCATAATGTAAGAACACATATATGAATGTGAGTATATAGAAAGCACTTTGAAAGAAAGTTGAAGTATAGTTGATTTATAGGGTTGTGTGTTAGTTTCTGGTTTACAACAAAGAGATTCAGTTATACATATAAAATATATATTATTTTTCATTATAGGTTATTATAAGATATCAAATATAGTTCCTGTGTTATGCAGTAGGACCTTGTTGTATTTTGCATATAGTAGTTTGTTAATCCCATGAAAGAAAGTGAAAGTATTAGTCGCTCAGTTGTGTCCGACTCTTTGTGATCCCACGGACTGTAGCCTGCCAGGCTCCTCTGTCCATGGAATTCTCCAGGCAGGAATACTGAAGTGGGTAACCATTCTCTTCTCCAGGGGATCTTCCCAACCCAGGGATCAAACTTGAGCCTCCCGCGCGGCAGGCAGATTCTTTACCATCTGAACCACCAGGGAAGCCCATACTCCTCCTTTATCCCTCTCCTCTTTTCCTCTCTGGTAATGATGTTTGTCCCCTATGTCTGTGAGTCTGTTTCTGTTTTTTAGATAAGTTCATTTGTGTTGTATTTTAGAATAAACATATAAATGATGCCATATAGTATTTGTCTTAATCGTTCTTACTTGGTATAGTATGATAATTTCTAGGTCCATCCTTGTTGCTGCAAGTGATGTTATTGTATTCTTTTCATGGCAGTTCTGTATTTAGTTTTTTGAGGTCCCTCCATACTGTCTTACATTGTGGTTGCACAGTTTATATTCCCACCAACAATGTAGGAGGGTTCCCCTTCCTCCACCCCCATTTATTGTTGATGGTCTTTTTAGTGATGGCCATTCTGACTGGTGTGGGATGGTACCTCATTATAGTTTTGATTTGCATTTCTCTGATAATTAGCAACACTAAGCATATTTTCATGTGCCTGTCGACCATCTGTATGTCTTCTTTGGAGAATTATTTGTTTAGGTCTTCTGCCCATTTTTTTATTTGGTTGGTTTTTAAAACACTTTAATGTTTAAGTGTATTCAGTCACTCAATAAGTATTAATCAAATGCCTTCTATGGTCCAAGCACTGAAGTGCTGATAATGCACATAAATTGAACACAGTTCCTGCTCACACATTAACCATAATATTAGAGCATTGTGATAAGTACTATAATTGGAATGTGATCAGAGGACAGTGGAAGCACAGGGGGGGGGGGGGGGGAACCAGTGAAATCTACCTGGGAGGGGCTGTGAAGCCTCCATGGGGGTGTTTGGCTTGAATCTCAAAGGAGTTTGACGGGTGATCATGGGGTGTTAGAAGTTAGCAGTCATCTCTTGGAGCAAGAAGTAAAAGCTTACACACAGAAGACTCATTTTCTCTACCATTATAGGGCTGGCCATCCTGTCAGTTATTTGTAACCTTCTACCTTTGCACTACTTATATAGCTTTTGTTAACTTTTTCAGTGATAGGATAAGAGAGCAGTCCTGACATGAGTAAAAAGGAGATTCAGCAATCTTGCCACCATGTATACTCCTTCCAGTCTATTAGGGTTTAACTCCAGAATCCTTACCTTGTAGTCTGGCCTTGTGAAAATTTGACCAACCAGCTAATTTCTCAAAAACAACGGAGGTTTTTTTGATCCTTACCTCATCACCCCATCAACTGTTGATACTGTTCACCTCACCTGTGTTAAAGCTGTGCTTGCGTGGTTTCCATGACATCATTCTCTAGGTTCTGCTTCTACCTTTATGACTGCTCAGCCTCAATCTGTGAAATTCCCTACCACTTAAATACTGGCAGTCCTGCTGGAAACTTTTATTGTTGGTCTTTTGTTTTTGTTCACTTTTTCCAAGTAATCTTGTACATACCCACTTGGTTTCTGTTTTCCCTGTACCTTTGACCCATAAAAGTATTTATCTCTCACCCTGCCTAGACATTCATCCCCTTTGGCCTCCTGACTTTACTCACCTGTACGTTAGAACCAGCAGTTTCATAGGTATTGCAGACTCAATATGTCTGAATCAGAACCTACTTTTCTTCCCTCCCTAAACCTGTTCATCTTCTCAATGAGTAGAACCACTATCCAGCTATCAACCCACCTCAGATTTTATCCTCCACCCTCTCGTTTGCCCATCTGTATCCCATGCCTAATCCCTGGCCCCTTTCCAAGCTGACTGGTAATCAAACTTCATCATGTCTGTGCACCCCTTCCTACTTGTAACATTTATTCTGGCTGCCACATCTCCATTGTACTCTTGCCTTAATTCAAGCTTTAATAGTCCTTCATCTGGACTGGTTTCTCTGTCAACCATTGTGCCCCACCCCGCCATCCCTAATCCACCTTTTTAAAAAACTTTCTTTCTTAATTTATTTTTTTATTAAATGATAATTGTTTTACAGAATTTTATTGTTTTCTGACAAACCTCAACATGAATCAACCATAGGTACACACATATCCCCTCCCTTTTAAACCTCCCTCCCATCTCCCTCCCCACTCTACCCCTCTAGATTGATACAGAGCCTCTGTTTGAGTTTTCTGAGTCATGCAGCAAATTCCCATGGCTATCTATTTTACACATGGTAATGTAAGTTTCCATGTTACTCTTTCCAGACATCTCACCCTCTCCTCCCCTCTCCCCATGTCCATAAGTCTATTCTCTATGTCTCTTTCTCCATTGCTGCCCTGCAAATAAATTCTTCAGTGCTATTTTTCTAGATTCTGTATATATGCATTAGAATATGATATTTTTCTTTCTCTTTCTGACTCAGTTCACTCTGTATAATAGGTTCTAGGTTCATCCACCTCATCAAAACTGACTCAAATGTGTTCCTTTTTATGGCTGAGTAATATTCTATTGTGTATATATACCACAATTTCTTTATCCATTCGTCAGTTGACATCTAGGTTACTTCCATGTTCTACCTATTGTAAATAGTGCTGCAGTGAACAGTGGGATACATGTTTCTTTTTCAACCCTGACTTCCTCAAGGTATATACCTAGGAGTGGGATTGCTGGGTCATATGGTGGTTGTATTCCTAGTTTTTTAAGGAATTTCCATAACGTCTTCCATAGTGACTGTATCAGTTTACATTCCCACCAACCAGTGCAAGAGTATTCCCTTTTCTCCACACCCTTTCCAGCATTTATTGTGTGTAGACTTTTTGATGATAGCCATTCTGACCAGTGTGAGCTGATATCTCATTTTAGTTTTGATTTGCATTTCTCTAATAATGAGCCATGTTGAGCATCTTTTCATGTGTTTGTTAGCCATCTGAATGTCTTCTTTGGAGAAATGTCTATTTAGGTCTTTTTCCTACTTTTTGATTGGGTGGTTTGATTTTCTGACAGTGAGTTGTATGAGCTGCTTGTATATTTTGGAAATTAACCCTTTGTCAGATGTTTCATTTGCTATTATTATCTCCCATTCTGAGGGTTGTCTTTTCACCTCGCGTATAGTTTCCTTTGCTGTGCAAAAGCTTTTAAGTTTAAGCAGGTCCCACTTGTTTACTTTTGTTTTTATTTCTATTACTCTAGGAGGTGGGTCATAGAGGATCTTGCTTGATTTATGTCATTGAGTGTTCTGCCTATGTTTTCCTCTAAGAGTTTTATAATTTCTGGTTTTACATTTATGTCTTTAATCCATTTTGAGTTTATCTTTGTGTATGGTGTTAGGAAGTGTTCTAATTTCATTCTTTGACTGTGTAGCTGTCCAGTTTTCCCAGCACCATTTATTGAAGAGGCTGTCTTTGTTCCATTGTATATTCTTGCCTCCTTTGTCAAAAATAAGGTACCCATAGGTGTATGGATTTATTTCTGAGCTTTCTTTTTCCATTGCTCTATATTTCTGTTTTTGTACCAGTACCATACTGTCTTGATGACTGTAACTTTGTAGTATAATCTGAAGTCAGGAAGCTTGATTCTTCCAGTTCCATTCTTCTTTCTCGAGACTGCTTTGGCTATCTGGGTCTTTTGTGTTTCTATATGAATTGTGAAATTTTTTGTTCTAGTTCTGTGAAAAGTGCCATTGGTAATTTGATAGGGATTGCATTGAATCTGTAGATTGCATTTGGTAGTATAGTCATTTTCACAATATTGATTCTTCCTACCCAGGAACATGGAATATCTCTTTATCTGTTTATGTCATCTTTGATTTCTTTCACTAGTGTCTTATAATTTTCTATGTACAGTTCTTTTGTCCCCTTAGGTAAGTTTATTCCTGGATGTTTAATTCTCTTTGTTGCAATGGTGAATGGGATTGATTCCTTCATTTCTCTTTCTGATTTTTCATTGTTAGTATATAGAAATGCAAGTGATTTCTGTGTATTGATTTTGTATCCTGCAACTTTGCTAAATTCACTGATTTGCGCTAGTAATTTTCTGATACTATCTTTAGGGTTTTCTGTGTACAGTATCATGTCTGCAAACAGTGAGAGCTTTACTTCTTTTCCAATCTGGATTCCTTTTATTTCTTTTTTTTCCTCTGATTGCTGTAGCTAGGACTTCCAGAACTGTGTTGAATAGTAGTGGTGAAAGTGGACACCCTTGTCTTGTTCCTGATCTTAGGGGAATGCTTTCAGTTTTTCACCATTGAGAATGATGTTTGCTGTGGGCTTATTATATATGGCCTTTACTATGTTGAGGTAGTTTCCTTTTGTGCACATTTTTTGAAGAGTTTTAATCATAAATGGGTGCTGAACTTTGTTAAAGGCTTTTTTCTTCATCTATTGAGATGATCATATGGTTTTTATCTTTCAATTTGTTAATATGGTGTATCACATTGAAGAACCCTTGCATTCCTGGAATAAACCCAGCTTGATCATGGTGTATGAGCTTTTTTTTGATGTGTTGCTGAATTCTGTTTTTTTTACATCTGATTTTTACATCTATGTTCATCAGTGATATTGGCCTGTAGTTTTCTTTTTTGTTTTGTCTTTGTTTGGTTTTGGTATCAGGGTGATGGTGGCCCTGTAGAAAGAGTTTGGAAGTGTTCCTTGCTCTGCAATTTTACGAGAGTTTTAGGATAGGCATTACCTCTTCTCTAAATGTTTGATAGAATTCTCCTGTGAAGCCATCTGATCCTGGGCTTTTGTTTTTTAGGAGATTTTCATTCACAGCTTCAGTTTCAGTGGTTGTAATTGGGTTGTTCATAATTTCTATTTCTTCCTGGTTCAGTCTTTTTTTCTTGATGAGTCTGGCTAAAGGCTTGTCAATTTTGTTTATCTTCTCACAGAACCAGCTTTTAATTTTATTAGTCTTAACTATTGTTTCTTTCATTTCTTTTTCATTTATTTATGCTTGGATCTTTATGATTTCTTCTACTAATTTGGGGGTTTTTTTTGTTCTTTTTTTTCCAGTTGTTTTAGGTGTAAAGTTAGGTTGTCTATTTGATGTTTTCTTTTCTTGTTCCTTGAGGTAGGATAGTATTGCTATAAACTTCGCTCTTAGAACTGCTTTTGCTGCATCCCATAGGTTTTGAGTTGTCATGTTTTCATTGTCATTTGTTTCTAGAAATGTTTTGATTTCCCTTTTGATTTCTTCAGTAACCCGTTGGTTTAGAAACACATTGTTTAATCTCCATGTGTTTGTCTTTCTTACAGTGTTTTTTTCTTGTAATTGATATCTAGTCTCATAGTGTTGTGGTTAGAGAAGATGCTTGATACAATTTCAGTTTTCCTTAATTTACGAAGGTTTGATTTATGACTCAAGATGTGGTCTATCCTGGCGAATGTTTGATGTGCACTTGAGAAGAAAGTGTATTCTTCTGCATTTGGATTGAATGTCCTGAAGATATCAATGAGATCCATCTCATCTAATGTATCATTTAAGACTTGTGCTTCCAAAAAAAAAAAAAAAAGACTTGTGCTTCCTTATTAATTTTCTGTTTTGATGATCTGTCCATTGGTGTGAGTGGGGTGTTAAAGTCTCCTACTGTTAGTGTGTTACTGTCAGTTTTTCCTTTTATGTCTGTTAGTGTTTGTCTTATGTTTTGAGTTGCTCCTATGTTGGGTGCATAGATATTTACAATTGTTATGTCTTCCTCTTGGATTGATCCCTTGATCATTATGTAGTGTCTTTCCTTATCTCTTGTAACCTTCTTTATTGTAAAATCTATTTTGTCTGATATGAGGATTGCTACTTCAGCTTTTTTTTTGCTTCCCATTTGCATGGAATATATTTTTCCATCCTCTCACTTTCAATCTAGATGTCTTTAGGTCTGAAGTAGGTTTGTTGTAGACAGCGTATATATGGGTCTTGTTTTTGTATCTATTCAGCCAGTCTATGTCTTTTGGTTGCAGCATTTAATCCATTTACATTTAAAGTAATTATTGATATATATGTTCCTATTGCCATTTTCTTAATTGTTTGGGGTTGATTTTATAAATCTTTTTTCTTCTCTTGTATTTCTTGACTATGTAAGTCCTTTTAACTTTTGTTGTAAAGCTGGTTTGGTGGCACTGAATTCTCTTAACTTTTGCTTCTCTGAAAAGCTTGTTATTTGTCCATCAGTTTTGAATGAGATCATTGCCAGGTACTGTAATCTTGGCTGTAGATTTTTCCCTTTCAGTACTTTAAATGTATCTGCCATTCCCTTCTGGCCTGCGGAATTTCTGGTGAAACATCAGCTGTTAAGTGTATGGGGTTTCCCTTGTATGTTACTTGTTGCTTCTCCCTTGCTGCTTTTAATATTCTTTCTTTGTTAGTTTGATTAGTATGTGTCTTGGCATGTTTCTTCTTGGGTTTATCCTGTATGGGACTCTTTGTGCCCCTTGAACTTGATTGACTATTTTCTTTTCCATGTTGGGGAAATTTTCAAGTATAATCTCTTCAAAAATGTTCTTATACCCTTTCTTATTCTCTTCTTCTTGATCCCTATAATTTAAATGTTGGCGCTTTTGATATTGTCCCAGAGATCTCTGAGACTGTCTTCAATTCTTTTCATTCTTTCTATTTTATTCTGCTCTTTAGATGTTATTTCCACCGTTTTATCTTCCAGCTCACTGATTCGTTCTTCTGCTTCAGATACTCTGCTATTGATTCCTTCTAGAGTATTTTTAATTTTAGTAATTGTGTTGTTTTTCTCTGTGTGTTTATTCTTTAATTCTTCTAGGTCTTTGTTAATTGATTCTTGTTGCATTTTCTCCATTTTGTTTTCAAGGTTTTTGATCATCTTTATATCATTATTCTGAATTCTTTTTCAGGTAGTTTGCCTATTTCCTCTTCATTTATTTGGACTTCTGTGTTTCTAGTTTGTTTCTTCATTTGTGTAGTATTTCTCTGCCTTTTCATTTTTTTTTTAACTTACTGTGTTTGAGGTCTCCTTTTCCCAGGCTTCAAGGTTGAATTCTTTCTTTCTTTTGGTTTCTGCCCTCCTAAGATTGGTCCAGTGGTTAGTGTAAGCTTCTATAGGGTGATATTTGTGTGAATTTTTGTTTGTTTGTTTTTCCTCTGATGGGCAAGGCTGAGTGAGGTGGTCATCCTGTTTGCTGATGATGGGGTTTGTATTTTTGTTTAGTTTGTTGTTTAGATGAGGTGTCTGCACAGGGTGCTACTGGTGGTTGGGTGATGCGGGGTCTTGTATTCAAGTGGTTTCCCTTGTGTGAGTTCTATTTGATACTCCCAGGGTTAGTCCTCTGGCCGCCTAGGGTCTTGGAGTCAGTGCTCCCATTCCAGAGGCTCAGGGCTTGATCTCCTTAGAAGCATCTTTCTCCTCTTTGGGCTTGGTCACCTTTCCACTCGTAGATCCCAGCTTGCTTGACAAGGTTGGGCCAGGAGACAGAAGTCCTCGCCAGGCGGGCCGGACTTGGGAGAGTGCTTAGGGTGGCACGTCGCAGCCACGAGCTCCCCTTGGTGTGGCTCCGGTCGGAATCTGCTGTTGCCCAGCGCTGCCGCTGCTGCCTTCTCTCCCTCCCCACTCCCTCCCTACACCCACTCCTCCTAGGAGCTTGCCTGCTCCCTTGCTCACCGTCTGCTTCCAGAGAACTCTCAGGTTCCGGAGAGCCCCCTAATCCATCTTTTATGTTGCTGGCAGAGCCATCATTTAGCCCGTAGTTCAGATTTCCTCAGACACCCCTTAGAATAGACATAAAGGTAGTTCCCACCTGCCTCTCTAGTCTCATTTCTTGACACTCCTCTGTCCCATAATTTATGCTCTACCATTTTAGAGCTGGTTACTGATTTTCTTAATTTTTCTCAGTTTATATCAGACTGTTTTGTTTTCTGTTTCTGTATACCTGTGTTCGTTCTGCATCCTTGGCCTCTTCAGAGAACCTGTTCCCTCTCCATCTTATTCTCTTCCTTATGTGGCTGTAGCCTTTGTGTAGTGGGAGGTTACCTATGACACCTGACTGAATTTGCTTGTTTATGAAATGTACATAAATCATTAAGAATAAGCCACCAGGTGCATTATTTTGCTGACCTCAGCATGCAGTTCAGTGTCCAGATCATGGATCATGAACAATAAAACAGTTAAATTAACCTTTGTTAAAATAATATTTTATATGATTTTGAACTCAGCCCTTACCCTCAGTGATTTAGCCATTGGGCACTTGCCTCTCAGCCTGACTCAATTGTTTGGAATTCAAATGTTTGGAATCCCAGCATACACACACACACACACACACACACACACTCAATTCTTAATACTTTTCAGTCTGTAAAAATATAATATAGTGCCCCTTACCACCCAAAAGATTTTCAGATTTTTGTCTCTAGTTGGGTTTGAAGAGAGTTGTTAACATGTTCCTTTTTACTCTGGGAATATTGTCATCCAATAAATCTGTTGAATTTGTGTGTATCACTGTATGAATTTATGCATTTTCACTATCAAAATTTTAAAAGGACCAAGTAGATAAGATCCGTTTACTGTAATGCAAAATTTAAACCTGAGTTTGACCTGTATTGAGTGTACAGCATTATATTTCCAATGATAATTAGGCTGAACATCCTAAAATGCCTTTGTTGCCAAAAAAAGTGAAATTTTCTCCATGTTCTGTATCCACAGCAATGAACTGTTCAGCTGAGGAAACTGAGAATGACCACAGCCCAGAGACACTCACTAAAAAGCTGTCAGATGTATGCCAGTTACGGAGGGACATAGATGAATTGCGGACCACAATATCAGACCGCTATGCTCAGGACATGGGAGACAACTGTGTCACCCAGTGACCAGTGTCAGTCCCACGGCAATAACGACCCGCTGCGAAGTGCTGCTGTGTGAAGTTCTTCATGTTTCTTTTCAGGAGCCATGATAGAAAGTTGCAAGTGACATGTGTCTTGCTGCATAGGTTTTTTTCTGTGGATTTGTTCTGTTGCAGAAGAATTGGGATGTGAGAAAGTTTCGAAGGGGCTTCTCTAATCAGGAAAAAAAAATTAAATTGCCATTTGAAAAATATGATAAAATGTATAAGAAAAAAAAATCTGTATTCTCAAACTACTGATTGTAGGACCAAGCTGTGAAGAGTGCCCTTCAGATAAAGGGATAAGATTTCTTTTAATCACATAATTGTGTGTGTGTGTGTGTGTGTGTGTGTGCATGTGTACTTATTTACAAAATTGTAAGGATTTCTAAGATCAAAGCAAAGCTTCTGAGAAAGGCACACACTATATTCTTGTGCTTCTTTTTTTTTTTTTTCATGGAGAAGCTTGTGTTGTACTTGGGGTTTTCAAGGGTTGGCTTAGCAAGAGTTCCCACACCAGGCAAGTGTTGTAACAGCACTACAACAGTAAAGCCTTTTGTGTTTTGAATGATCACTGTGCTGAGATGGTGAGGTTGTGGGATTGGGTTGATTTTCGTACTGTAGATAGGTCAGCTATTTTTCCAGAGTGATTGTGAATCGTCTAAGAGTTGTGAAATACCAATGTGATGGTTATTCCCATTAGCATTGTAATTTACATATTACAAGGTGATTTAACATAATCTGAACTAACTTTAACATGTCCCTTACTATTTACAATTTTTATTTATAGATTATATGTATATATCAGTGTAAACAAAGCCATATATAATTAATGCAAACCTAAGGCCTCAGATCATTATTGTAAAATGAACAAAATAACTCTGGAACAATAACTTATTTATCCAAATCTCAAATGTTTACATTTTTAACAGTTTTGTATCTGTTTTAAAGTTGAAACCACTTTAAGAAAAAATCAGCCTGTATTCTTTATATCTGAATTATCACTAGCATAAACAAAGTCTAAACCTAAGTGATACAGAAATTCTTCTTAATAGGTAAAGTACATTAAAAACAGGGTTCTTCATAGAATATAAACTTGCCCACATTAGTTGTTCTTCTGGGGTATAGGATATCACTATGAAATGCAACTGATATTTTTTAGTAGATATGCAGTCATTTAAACTTCCAAATGAGTATTTCCCTATTTTAGTTATATCTTGGAAGGAGTATGTATTTTATTACCTTCAGAGCATTTAGTACATTCTTTTGAATGTACTTAGTTGTGGCAATCATTGTCCTTTACACATTGGTTTTAATTTATCTCTTGATACAGCCCCAAGTCTCATTTAGGTCAAGACAAATAATAGGTAGAAGGAACAAGGGATGTTAATCAAGCTGGAGAATATTGTTTGGGGCAAGAGCAGATCACATGTCTGTTTTCTTGCCAGACTTATATTAATGGTATAAAGGCTGCTCCTAGAAAAATATGCTTCTGAGTAATTTCAGCAGTGAAAACATATTTGGGATAGACCTTCAAAGAAACTACCCAGGAAGACATTCAGCTCAGAATTTGACTTATATGCAGTTCTCAATAGTTATTCAATAGTTAGATTTCAGCAATCAGTTATAATACACTGTAAGGACATCAGCCTTCCCTTCTGTCCAGTGCCTGAGTCCTCCCTGCCATTTTATGTCTTAGGATCTGGACACTAAGAAATCAGTGCATTGTAGGGATTCTGCTTCCCACAGTCCTTAAGCTGAAAAGGAGGGACTTGGTCACTAGCAAGAATTTGGCTTTCTAAGATGTTCATCTGTTTTTTAATGTTGGTGGTTTGAAGACAATCAAGGAGTAGTATATTTGTACCAAAAATCTGATACAAAGAATTCTGCCTTGTAAAAATTAGTATCTGTAAAAATGGTCCTTTATAGTAAAGTAGATAATTAGCATCTAAAATAGATAATCCACAAGTATAGCACACATTTTTACATTCTCTTTGAATAGAATCCCCTCCCCCCACCCTCAACCTCCACAATTTTGAAAGTAAAGGTACCCTAAAATGATAGTGATAATGGGCAAATAATCACTGATTTGGATTACTAGGTTCTTACTAAAATGTATATGTTTGGGAGTTTTATGGTTATTAGTGTTGTTTAAGCAAACTTTTGGTCATTTGTTTTGACCTCTGTAGATACTTTGTTTTCTGCCTTTATTGTGATAAAATAATTTATATTTTTAAAAAATAAGTTAGTTTTCTAAAACTCAAAAAATTTGACTTTAATTCACATATCTTGGGGTAAAAAATTTTAACCTAACAGGAAATTAACTAACTATTGCTGATATATTTCAGTTTCTAAAATGTATCCTCTCCATGAAAAGGAGAATTAAGATGTAATAATTTAAGTATAGCCTTGAATTACAGACTGTTAATCTCTTGGAGTCTGGGTTTTGTAAAGGGGCCTAGATAATAAGCAGACAGCCTTGGAGGGAATTTTGAGTGGAGTAAAGGTATTAGTAGTCTAATATGTCAGTATTTAATTTTGATTTTTCAGAAAATTCCCCTCTCCAAGACAACCTTTTATGTTAGACTAGTAAGAATAATGATATCTCTTTAAAAACAAAGATTACTGTTAGACTAGGTAAGGTGGACAAGTAGAAACTCTATAGAGTCATGTCCTAGTTTGAAGTAGGATATTCTTAGGAGTTATTACAGTGATTATCTGTCTGAGGTGAAAATTAACCTAAGTTTTAAAGTAAATCTATTTGAAATTTGCTTAAATATTGACTTAGGTAAGCCATGCCTGAGTTTGTTTCTTTTTTTTTTTTTTAATAAGTATGGCCCCTTTTTGTGTTTGAAATAGGAGTCAGTATTTAATGTTAACCATATTTTATTTTAGTGACATTTGTTTTAGTCATGACACTTTATTAAGCTGAATTAGACTTCTTTCAGTAGCTCGTTAGAGACAATCTCAAGGGCTGGAAAGTGTTGCTAAAATGAATATTGTACATTTCCACAATAATGTACAATAATGAATGACTAATAAGATTATAAATTTTGCCATAGTTCAAGACTTATTAATAGGATTATCTTAGATGGCATTTTTAAAGGAACTACTTTATTAGGAGAATGTTCTTTCAATATCAGTAATAGTTCATTGAATAATATAGTAGCTGAGAACTTGGACTATATTTTTACATCACATAGTTCAGCTCAGACACATCTTTGGATTTTGGCATTCACTTATGCAGCTTTGTATCACTGTAGATACGTAATTATAGAAATAAGCAATTCTCATAACCATGCTTAACTCAGACAATGTCATTTGAAACTGCCAGTAGCTAGAGGTCTCAGAGCCAAAGTTAATTCATTTTGTTTCCATTTTTGACAGTTTTTTTCCCCCAGTGTTCACAAAACATAAAATTCCAGTGTTCACAAAACATAAAATTTCTAGCTTCACCCCAAAATGTCATGCTGGAAATTGCTGTATAATAATAACCTGCATTTAATCTCGAAGAGGGAAAAGTTTTGGATATTTGGATTTTTATCTTATTTAAAAGAAGCATTGAGTATATTAAGAATGTAGTTTCAAATCAGTGTCATTAACAGCACTGTCGCAACTGCATAGGTGAAGAACCTTTTGTGCCTTTTTGCCTGCAGTAAGCATTCATTTCTATTTACATGAGCTGTAAGAATGTTGATGATTATTGCACCTTGTTCTTCTGTAAATAGACTTGATTAAGGATTTTTGTTTAAAGCAAGGAGCAGTTTTTCGTTACTAGGTAGATACCTTAATAAACATAAAGGGAGTTATCAGATAATATGTCTTTGGAGTCCAACCTTTTCCCTGTTTAGTGAGCAGGAAACTCCTTTGGAATGTATTCATTTGTGTGTATGTGTGTGTATATGTATGTGTAAATAGTTATTTAAATGCATAAACATAAATTCAGCATCACGTTGGTGTGATGACAAGAAGTAGTAAGGTGCTAGGTGGCTACATTAAAAGCACAGCAGAGTATATCATCAGTCACTATGACTGGTGGTTTTTATAAACTAGGTTCAGTTTTTGAACCACCCAGAATACCTCATGTGTAAATACAATAGTCATGACTTAATTGAAATATAGTTATTGTAAAAAGAATGTGAAGCCACTGGTTGGCTTATGCCTTCTGATTATTATCCTTGCCTCTTTTTTTGTAAAGGGGTTGTTTTTTGTTTTTGTTTTTTAATAGGGTTTACAGCTAGAATTTTGAATGCCAAAGTTCTATTTATTAAATTTAAAAAGTTTTCAATGTTAATGGCTAAGTATTTTTCCACTGGACTATTGTTTGTTGATGTTGGGATTTGTATTAACAGAGAAATAAATTTTTTATAAAAGATTTATGTCTACCAAGTGCCTAGTGTTGATATAAAAATGTATTTGAAATTTCAGACTCTGAATTCTCAATGACAAGAATATGCTGGCTTGACTCTTTCAAAAAGTTTCCTTTATGCAAGAAAAAAATCTTACTAGAACAGGGGCACTTCTGCCTTATATGTCTGTCTGAGTTTCTTTTCAGTCATTGAAAAACGTTTTGTCAGGGCTTTTCCTTGAAGGGCACTGAGATTTTCTGAAGGCATAAATACAAGGGCATGGCTCTGCATTTCAGCTCATAGAACTGTATCTCTACTTTGAATTTCTAAAACTCTTATTTGAATCAAGAGTCTTCTCTCTACTTTTCCAACAGACAAAATCAGATTTCAGTTTTTATATTGCTGAAAGATTGGCAAGGTAAATCTTTTTTATTTCCTCCCTTCTAATCAGAGATTAAAACCTTACTGAAACATACACAAATAAGACCTTGTTAAAAAATTGCTCTGCAGAGGCCTCAACATCTCAGATTGATGGCTCCCTGGGTCCTTGTTCTAAGTCCTATGTGCCTTAATGTTGCCTGCTGGTTAACATTTGGATTAGTAGTGTCTGTTTCTAGTCCAGTTAACTTGGCATTGCTGTCAAAAGTTTTTAATGAGGCATCTAATCCAGTTAACAGGAAAAAGAAGCATGCATTATGACCCCATAGGTTATAAGCAAATGACGTGGAAGTAAAAACAGAATAGATAGAGTCCTTGAGTATTTCCAAGGTTATTAATGAAGAGTCTTCTGCTTTAGAAGAAAACATAGAAGAAAACATTTTGATCTGCTTTTAAAAATAAAGTTTCAATGGAGTCAGCAAAGGCTTTTGATGGGGTTCATCCCAGTGATTTTGCCAGTACTTTGAGCTTCCTTTTTAGGTCAGTTTCCCAACCAACCAGTCTTTCTGTGTAGATATACAGAGGACTCAGTTTAAAAGAGGAGTAAATATGCTCTTAGTGTTGGTGTAAATGATGGCATGTGGATCCAGCAGAGCAAATCGTTTACAAATAGATAGCACTCTAACACCATGTCAGTTAAGATGGTCTCCTTGGTTTAGTGGAGATTCCCATTTGAGGACTGAAATTGTGACAAAGGTTTCTTCAAATAAAACTGCTCTCCCTGATAAATTCAGTGTGATCACAAAAAGAAAAAACAACTTCCCATTTCAGCCACCTGTTTTTACTTTAACACAGTCTCACTTCACCATCTCCATAGATGCCTTTATAATAGAAGTTTTAATGAAACATATGCCTACCCTACCCTGTGACCTGGAAATTCCAGTCTAGATGTTTACTTGAGATAAATACAAACATGCATCTAAAAAGAGACTTGTAAGTGAATGTTCACAGTGATTTTATCCATAATAATAAAAAACTGGAAATAGCCCAAGATCTGTCAGTAAGAGTTCTTTACCTAGAGTTGACAAACAGCATTCTTTCATAACCTCAGGTTTTGATTGATTATCGAAAATATGTTAATACTTTGGGGGAGATGGAGTAACATTTCATAGACAGCAGTGTGATGGTGTATCACTTCCTTTGTGTTATACCAGAGGCACTTTTGTTTCTCTTCCCTCTGGGGTGAGCATTGTCCTTTGTGGTGCCCCCACCTGTGTTCCATGAGTCCACACTTGCTGTGAAGCTCTTGGTTTCACCCTTCTTGAGACAAATCTTTTATGCCGTTGTTTCTGAACAGCATGAAGAGCTCATCAGAATTTGAACTCTTTGAGAGCAGGCATGTTGTCTTATTAGACTTTGCATATAATAAGCCTGTAGGACATACTAATCTCCAGAGACGTGCAAATACCTGTTGTTAGCCCCAGGAAGGAAGAATGATTTCAAAGGGGAAAGAAGTGGTTTTTATAGCATAGGTCATCCTTGGAGGCTGTGGTGCTTTTAATGGGACATGTAAAGTGATAGTAAACCCTACTTAGGCAAGTTCCATTTTCCTCCATCCCTTGGACCTTTTGCTAATCTCTCTTATGACTGTCCTCTTTCTGCCCTTCTGTGGGTTCAGGCTACAGAATTGGACACAGTTGTTTCCTAGCCCCAGTGTTCCTGGAGCATAACAATCTCATTGGGCGTTAAGCCAGCTGTGTAGGTTTTGTAAGGACAAATTCAAGGTTGTAAAAGAGGAGCAAAATGTCAACTTAAACAGTGAATGCAGTTCCATCTATGTATGTATGCACAAGTCTGGAGAATAGTCATTGAAGCATATAGTAGCAGCTGGCATCCCTTCTAAACAAAGTAGGTTAAGTCTGTGACTTGGTATCTTTCATGACTTTCAGAAATTTCTCAATCATATTCCTCTGCATATTGTGTTTTGTCCTGCTTTCTCTTTTCCCCTATAACTGTACCTCCAGTCATGTGTATCTTCTCTTTTATCCACTATGTACGTCATATTCTTTACTACTCTTTTGTTCCCTTCATTCTTAATGTTCTCTGGTGATATATCTTCTAATTGACTATTTCTCCTTTTGGCTATATTTAATTATCTGTGAAATCCAACCATAGAGTTGCCAATATCAGGTTTTGTATTTTTCAGTTCTAAAATTTCCATTTGGTTCTTCCTTAGAATTTTTAGTTTTCTTTCAACATTATCAATTTTTTCACTGATTTCTTAAGCAAATTAAGCATAAATATTTTAAAGCCCGTTATCTGTATTGTCAGTTTGTTTCTACTATCTGTTGTTTCTCTTCATTTTTAAAATAAAGTCTTATTCTCACACACCTGTTTTGTTTTGGTTTTTTTTTCAGAGCTGAATATTTTATATGAAAATATTTAAGGCTCTAGATAATGTTATCTTACTCCAGACAGGATTTAAATTTGCTTCTGGTCGGGCTAGGGGCACTAATCAGCCTGATGAACTCAGGGCTGCAGTTGATTTAGAGCAAGGGTTTGAGCTCTTGGGAGAGCATGCCCTGTATCTGACTCACCTAGAAAAACCCCAGCTCAAAGGAAAGGGCACTTGCCAGCGCTTCCCTTCCTGAAAGAGCTGTGGAGTTCAGTTTTTACTTTCGAATCCAATGATTAGGTGAGCAATAACCTACCGGCCAAATCTAGCCTACTGCTTGGTTTTTGGAAATTAAGTTTCATTGGAACACAGTCGTGTCCATTTGTTCACCTATTGCCTAAGCTACTTCTGAGCTAAAATTGCAGAATTGAATAGTTGTAGGAGACTGTATGACCCTTAAAGCCAAAATTACTTATTATTTGTAGAATTTTGCTGACCCATGTCCTGGATCCCTAAGCATAAGGAAAGCTCTGTCTCAGTTTCTCTTTGAGTTTCCTCTTCCAGAAATGGCAAATACTCCTAAAGGAAAAATAGCCCCAAATCCCAGGGTAAACTTTTTTTGTTTCTTCCTTGTACTGGATCTTGAACCTGTAGTGTTTTTTTTACTGCACCGTTACCTCTCTGATGCCTTAAACTAGAGTTTTCCCCAGCATTTTCTAATTGTTCTTCGTGGGGAGGGTTGATCTGAATTTTAGTTCGCATTTATTGGAAGCGGAAATCTTTATAAGATATTTTTTATAAGACATTTTAACCACCAGTGTTTTAAAAAATATTTATTTGGCTGCACCAGTCTTAGTTGTGGTACATAGGATCTTCAGTCTTTTTAGTTGCAGCATGTGGGATCTAGTTTCCTGACCAGGGATCGAACCCAGGTCCCCTACATTGAGATCACAGAGTCTCAGCCTCTGGACCACCAGAGACATCCCTAACCACCAGTTTTTAGACAAATCCAGCCTGACAATGGGTACTCCATCATCCCTTCTTGTTGGTTAAACTGTTGTTTGCAGGGGTATTGTCCTTCGTTACTTTTGATCTGTCCTGGTTGTTTGTTCTCGTGATGTAGGGTGCAGTTATTCTAGACTTGGGTCTTAACACTTATAAGAAGTGCTATCACTACACAAAAGTTCCTTCCTTCCTAAACTATTTCAGTAGTATATTTATCACTAAGTTCCTTCCCCTTAAAATATATCCTGCATATCTGTTTCTAAATCGTCAAAATGGCAGTCCTGATCAGGCTCTCAGAAACCTTCAGTGATTCACATTGTCTAAGGAAATCCTTGACATTCAAGCTGTTTTTTTCTTTTCTTTATCCTGTTTTTCAAGATTTTCCATTTCACTAGTCTGGTCAAAATACATTGGTCATATACAATGATCAGTGTGGATATTCAGCTCTGCTTAAAAAACAACAACAAATAATTCAGTCAACTTAATGCTTGTTTCTCATTTAAAATGAATTTCCTCCCATTTATACTCTTCAAAGTTCATTTCAGATGGCATTATGTCTAACCATATTTTCCTTATCCTTCTATGCCTTATAGTGGTTTATACTTGGTGCACATTAAATAAACATGGTTTTCGTTGGAAATAAGAGTTGTGTTCTAAGATATTTGCTTTGAGTAATTCTTCACTATTTCTGTTACAGAAATAAAGATAACTATTCTTCATTGGAGCACTGTCAGTCTTTTTATTATTTCTTCCATAAGTATTTGAATATTAAGTAAATAAACTTGCTAAAATTAATGAAGTTATTCCTAGCATTGGAGTGGCTAAATAGTAATAGATAATAACTATAATAATAAAGGTTATTATCAGATAGAGTATTGACAGATTTCTTATAACTTAAGCTATTGATAGCAGTTGAATAATTTTAATTCACAGATTTCCTATTTTTATTCAAATAGCAAGGTAAACCATGTGACTAGTATCTAAGAATTCTAATGTGTTAAACACTTAGAGCCCTTATTAATTCAATTAACCTCGAATCTCTGGATAGTTTATGTGAGTATTTTTAAGAGTAGACTCATTAGTTAATTTGAGAATCCAGTGGAAGATGTATGGAAAGTGTGCTTGAAAGGATATGGGTTTTAAAACTTTTTTACTTAGATTGAAATCTCTAATTTCTTAGTGTATGTAAAGTGGGGTAAAATCATCTTGTTCATAACCTTTGTGTGGTATTTGAATCTGTGATGAAAAACAAATTCTATTCGTGTCTTTGAATGATTTGACCTCAGTAATTCTAAGTCTTGTTGGCAAGTGGCAAGTATACAGAGCAATAACCAAAAAGATATATACAAAATATACACAAAAGCAACAACCACTCTAATGGCAGAAAGTGAAGAGGAACTAAAGAGCCTCTTGATGAGGGTGAAAGAGAAGAGTGAAAAAGCTGGCTTAACACTCAACATTCAAAAAATGAAGATCATGGCATCCAGTCCCATCACTTCATGGCAAACAGAAGGGGAAAAACTAGAAGCAGTGACAGATTTTATTTTCTTAGTCTTCAAAATCAATCAATATGGTGGTTGCAGTCACAAAACTAAAAGACGTTTGCTTCTTGGAAGAAAAGCTATGATAAACCTATACAGCATATTAGAAAGCAGAGACATCACTTTGCCAATGATCGTCCATATAGTCAAAGCTATGGTTTTTCCAGTAGTCACATGTGGATGTGAGAGTTGGACCATAAAGAAGTCTAAGCACCAAAGAACTGATGCTTTCAAATTGTGGTACTTGAGAAGATTCTTGAGAGTTTCTTGGGCTGCAAGATATCAAACCAGTCAATCCTAAAGGAAATCAGTCCTGAGTGTTTGTTGGAAGGACTGATGTTGAAACTGAAGCTCTAATACTTTGGCCACCTGATGCAAAGAGCCAAGTTATTGGAAAAGGCCCTGATGCTGGGAAAGATTAAAGGCAAAAGGAGAGGGGATCAGCAGAGGATGGGATGGTTAGATAGGATCACCGACTCAGTGGATATGTATTTGAGCAAAGTCTGGGAGATGGTGGAGGAAAGAGAAGTCTGGTGTGCTGCAGTCCATGGGGTTGCAAAGAGCCGGACATGACTTAGCAAATCAACAACAACCAAAAGGTCAGAGCTAGAAAATGTTCCTAGAGTACATATTATAATGGAGAATGAAGAGTGGTGGAATAGAATGCCAACTGTGTTGGACACAAAGGATTGGTGAGCTTGGAGGAATAGGAAGAGTTTTTATCTGGGTTTTGAGTTTCGAATGCAAGTGATAGTAAGTTTTATTTGTAAAAAGTGTGGCAAAATGTGTAAGGATTTATGAATCAATGCTAATATTTGCTCGTCAATGAATCTGGGACATAAGCGGAAGAGAAAAAAGAAGGGAGTAACATTGCTCTATGGTCCCATTACTCAGGAAGGTCCCATTACTGATAGGAGGAATGCTTGCTTCTATTTCATGTGAATGAAGCAGTGTACAGGGGGATTGCTTATTCCAAAACATCTGTCAGTATTTCACAACTAGTGACTCACACTTTTGAACAGCTAGTGTAATTCACATTTTACTCAGCTTGAATTTCTCTTTTAATAGGTTTCGTTTCTAGAGAAACTTTCAGTTTACAGAAAAGCTGCACACAAAATGTACCCGTTCTCATTCCAGCTCTGCACACAATTTTTCCTACTATTAACATCTTCCATTAGTGTGATACATTCTTTGTAAGTGATGAGCCAATACTGATCTATTATTTTTACTAAAGTCTGTAGTTTATAATGGGGCTTCTCTGTTGTGTTGGCTCAGTAGTAAAGAATACGCCTGCAATACAGGAGACTTGGGTTCGATCCCTGGGTCAGGAAGATCCCCTGGAGTAGGAAATAGCAACCTACTCCAGTATTCTTGCTGGGAAATCCCATGGACAGAGGAGCCTGGTGGGCTACAGTCTATGGGGTCAAAAAAGAGTTGGACACAACTTGGCGACTAAATAACATAGTTTATAACAGAGTTCATGTCTGAACAGTTCTCTGGGTTGTGGCAAATACACAGTGTCAGGTAACCAGCACTGCAGTATTAAACAGAATAGTCTGGCCACCCTAATAATCTTCTGTGCTCCAGTTATTTATTCCTCCCTGTCGCTAAACTCTTCTCAACCACTGTTCTTCTCACTGTCTCCATAGTATTGCCTTTTCCAAAATGTCATATAGTTGTGATTATATTGTATATAACCTTTTCTGATTGGCTTCTGAAACTTAGCAGTGTGCATGTAAGATTTATCCATATGCCTTGATAGCTTATTTCTATGGCCTAAAAGCTTATTTCTTCTTATCACTGAATATTACATTGTATGGATATACCACGATTTATCCATTCACTTATTGAAGCACACTTGGTTGTTTCCAGGTTTTTGGCAATTATGAATATAAAGATTGTATCAGCTTTTGTGTGCAGGTTTTCGTGTGGACATATTTTCAACTTTTTTGAATAAATATCTAGAAGTGCAGTTGCCATATATTTTTAGCCTGTATTTAGCCTATAAAACATATTTAGCCTATAAAACACTGCTAAGCTGTCTTCCAAAATGACTTATCATTCTGCTTTCTTATCAGCAATGAATAAGACTTCCAACTGCATTTGGTGTTATCACTGTTTTGGACTTTAAATTCTAATAGATGTGGAGTGGCATCTCATTATTGTTTTAATTTGCATTTCCCTGATACTATACAATGTTGAGCATATTTTCAAATTCTTATTTACCATTGCTGTCTTCTCTGGCGAAATGTCTGTTCGGGTCTCTTGCCCATTTTTAAAATTGAGTTGTTCGGTTTCTTACTGTTGAATTTTAAGAGTTCTTTGTACATTTTGGACAGAAGTCCTTTATCAGATGTGTATGGGCTATGGTTTATATTTCCAGTCTATGGCATATATTTGATTCTCTTGAAAATGTCTTTGTCAAGATGGAAGTTTTAGTTTTTAACAA